TCATCAAGAAAATCTCTGAAAGTTTGAAGGACAAAAACAGGGAGTGGAGAGATACAAGGCAAGACCTTCTTGGTGGTAGCACTGCTATTGTGGAACTCACTCTACAGCAGATCTGTCAAAGCCCCCTCCCTCGTGGTTTTAAGTATGGTCTTCAAAAGACCTTTTGACTGTCTTCTTTTTCTATTTTAAACAGCTGTTTTTACTGCAATTGTTTTCTATCCTGAATTTTTATTGCTTTGCATTGCATTTATACTTAATATTCTAAGTCACCTTGTGAAGGTTTTTAGCTTTGAAGACCAGGGCAGAAGCACCTGTATAAATAAAACACGCTACAATTACTCTGCAGTAAACACATTTGTCAGGGAATCCTGAACTTTATTCATCTGCTATGAAGACACAAGTGGTTTTGACAACAATCTTAACATGCAGCAGTCCTCTTAATGGCAACAATTTACATGGGGTGATTTCACCAGTATATCATTTTTTTATTATTTATTAAATTTATATATCAAGTTTCAATTGGGAATCACAGGGCGGTTTACAGTATAGAAACACAAAAATGTGTAACGTAATAGCAAACAAAGCAATAACCCTCATACACATACACAAAATCACACAGTTTAAAAGGCCAAAGTTTGTTTAATTAGCTAAGGCATGGGAGAAGAGGAATGTTTTTGCCTTGCACTTAATAGTTTTATTTATATTATTTATTTATTTAAATATTAATATACTGCTGTATCATTAAAAATATATCATAGCAGTTTACAACAGTATAAAAATACGAAACCAAACAATAGCATCATAAGACGTTAAAAAAAGAAGTTTAAAAGTAAAAGAAATTAAATAGACCATTGGGTGGGTGCTCTTAACTGCCAGCATAGGACTGGAGGAACAGAAAAGTTTTCAGCAGACATAAACTGGTACAGAAGGTGCCCACTGAATCTACATTGGCAGGGCATTCCACAGAAATGGACCAAAGACTTGATTTCTCATTGTTGCCAAATGAGCCTCACCACTTCACCCAAGATGCTCCTGCAGGTGATCTCAGTGGTCGACCTGGAATATAAAGGTTCGGGAGATCCCTAACATATTCTGGACCCAAGTTGTCCAAAGCTTTGAAAATCAAAACAAGAACCCTGAACCTGGCTTGGCAACAAAAGGGCAGCCAATGCAGCTGTTTTAACAATGGTGTCACACGTTCTTGACCAAAAGTTCCCAACAGCATTCTGGCTGCAGCATTCCAAACCAGACCCAAGGGTAGCCCCACATAGACATCATTACAGTAATCTAGCCTGGAGGCTACCAATGTATGAGCTACAGTGGTCAGACTATCCCTGTCCAGGAACAGACATAGTTGGGTGAACCACAGGAAGCCGGTAAAAGATGCTCCTACCCACAGAGGACACTTGGGCCTTTAGTGACAAAGATGTCTACAGGAGTACCCCCAAGCTATGCACTTGCTCTTTCAGAGGGAGTGCAACTTCATCCAGAACAGTAACTTGCCAATTGCCCAAACATGAGAACCACCCACCCAAAGAGCCTGTCTTCCCAAGATTCAAGCACAGTTCATTGGCCCTCATCCAGTCCATCACTGCAACTACCCTCTCCACCACCTTTGCCAAGAAAGGGGTGTTGGCGACTGGTCTATAGTTGTTACTCTGTTGGGTCTAGGGTGGGATAGTTGAGCAGCAATCACCAATCACCAACCTGACCCTGGGTAGCTTTAATAAACCAGATTGGACAAGGATCTAATGAGCAGGTGATCAAGCACATCACTTAAAGTATTCTGTCCACATCTTCAGCCCACATCAACTGAAATGATCACACAACACCAGACTCGACATTGCATTGGACATCTCAGCTGGTACTGTTACAATAGCAGCATCTACATCACTGCAGAACCGAGCAACTTTATCAGTGAAGTGTTTAGCCATTCAGTTACAGCTAGTTACTGTGTGATCCAGAGGTTCACCCCCCTAGTCAGGAGTAATCAACCTCTGGACCATACAGAACAGCTCCAGTGGGTGCCTCCTAGGAGATGCAATGAAAGGAATGAAGTTGGATCTCTTCTCTGTTTAAGGAGGACTGGAAGGAGTTTGCCCTCCAAACACAAGCAAGGGGAGGAATCCACAGTGTGCATAGCACATACCTGTTCATCTCCTTGACTGCTTCTTCGCAGGATCTCCACCACCCCACCCACATGTTCTCCAATGACTGCTCCTTTGCTTAAACTTCACACACACCCTACATAGTTCCATGTTTCAGACATTGTGATATATCACTAAAAAACAATAATATATAAGTCAAGCTGCCAGGATCTGGAGAACTAGAATATGACAAACCTCACTGTGAGCCATGTTGGTAGTGAGGCAGGATATAAATGAATAAAATTAAAGAATCACAATTCAGCAGCATTCCCACTCATACACCCTCAACAATTACCATACAACCAACACACTTTTTTGTAATTTTATGTACACCGCTTAGAGATGCTAATGATTAAGTGGCATATAAATACTAAACAAACAAACAAACAAACAAACAAATAAATGCAACAGATTGTCAGAACAGAATGAAAGCAGATAATATGAAAGGAATGAAAGAAGAAAAAAGCAGGATAAGAGTTCCAGCCACACCTACTTTGCTTTCTCTACCTGACTGCAAAAAAGCAAGCATCTCAACAGATACTGGGCCATAAGGCAGATCTCAGAAGTCAATGTTCTGGCTGCATCCCAAAACAATTTCAAGTCAGGGTCTGCCTCCAGTATGTATTACAGGAAAACTCTTATGCTAACAACAGGTTGATCTCACACACTCCTTCAAATAGATATTCTCTAACTAGGGAAATGATATTTCTTTAAAAAATCTTTTAAAACACAGTTTTTTAAAGAGAAAAAAGGATAAAAGTTAACAAACAGCTAATAACTAATCAAAACAAAAGGTAAACTAACATTTACAATTTCAATTTACATTGAAATTAATGGATCCAAATTTCAGTGGGTCCACTCTCAGTAAAACTTAGCTGAATACCTTGATGTAGAAGCCAGCAGCAGTCAAAATTCTAATTTATAAAGCACTACCTAAATAGGTGAGCAGCAATATGGCCAGCTACTGGCAGGACAATCCCTGCCTTGGTCCCACTACAAAAAAGGCCCTGGATGTTATCTGACTAACTCATACACAGAGCAGACCCATAAAAATCAATGGACTTTTGATGTGTGTAATATAACCCTGTTTATCTACAGTGGATCTACACAGTGTGTGACTGATGCTGCAATCCGAACCCCACTTACCTGGGAGAAAACCCCATTGAATTCAACAGGACTAGCTTTTGAGGAGCCTTGGTTAGGCTCCCACTGTTAGTCAGATACCTTTGTCTACAACGCCCACGCATATGTGGAAAAATAAAACAGGGCTTCAACGATGTCTGGTATATTCGTGTGGGTGCAGGAAACTTGTTGCTAATGTGTTGTACCCCCCCCCCCCGAAGGCTGCACTTGTGTGAGCCCTTTGCTTTGTGGCCTCCTCTGGGGGTCCAGCACAACGCTACCCCTCACCCAACCTCCTCCAAGGAGGGCAAAGGCTGCCCGCACTTCAACATCAACTTCACTGGACCTTTACCAAAGGTGTCACGAACTTTGAAGATACTCAAACTCAGGACGCAAGGGCGAAACGTGCTAAGAGGAAGGCATGCTTGGCAAACCGACACCGTGATCAACTCCCGCCCGGAAACCAATGTCCCCACTGTGGAAGGATGTGCGGATCCAGAACTGGCCTCCACAGTTACTTACGGACTAATTGTTAAGACCGTGTTTTTGGAAGACCATCTTACTCGGCTATGAGGGATCGCCAGAGAAGAAGCAGGCAAGTTGGTTGGTTGAGAAGAGCAGCTGCCTCTGCCTCCCGTGCCATCTCACCCTGAGCACAATACAGTGGTACCTTGGGATGCGAACGGGATCCGTTCTGGAGCCTCATGGGCATCCTGAATGGAACGTAAGATGCGACGGCACGTGCTACGTTTCGGCACTTCTGCGCATGAGGTCATTTTGACCATCTGCACATGCGCGAGTTACTTCCAGGTCGCCGCGGAGCGCAACCCGAAAATACTTATCCTGAAACATATTTATCCCGAGATATGACTGTATTATGGGAGTGGCGCTGTGACGCGGGTGGCGCTGTGGGTTAAACCACTGAGCCTAGGACTTGCTGATCAGAAGGTCGGCGGTTCGAATCCCCGTGACGGGGTGAACTCCCGTTGCTCGGTCCCAGCTCCTGCCAACCTAGCAGTTCGAAAGCATGTCAAAGTGCAAGTAGATAAATAGGTACCGCTCCGGCAGGAAGGTAAACGGCATTTCCATGTGCTGCTCTGGTTCGCCAGAAGCGGCTTAGTCATGCTGGCCACATGACCCAGAAGCTGTACGCCGGCTCCCTCGGCCAATAAAGAGAGATGAGCGCCGCAACCCCAGAGTCGGCCACGACTGGACCTAATGGTCAGGGGTCCCTTTACCTTTTACCTATGACTGTATTATGGACTGGGGGGTCTGGAGCTCTGCAAGGGCAGGTTGGCAGGCGAGGGAGCTGAGAAGGAGCCAGTGGGGATGCCTTGCAGCTTCCCAGTCGCCTGCTGGCCCCTCTTCCCAGGCGATGCCCAGGGAAGACGGCGCCTGGTCTTGCCGTGAATTTCTTCACCTTCCCTCTCTAGGCTGGACACGGGCCCTACCCAGACAGGCGGACCAGCGCGGGCAGGCAGCGTTTCCTTCCCCGCTCTCCCCGGGCTGGCGGAGGTCCCAATCCCTCGCACCGGCCAGGGGGATGCAAGCGAGGAGCCGGCGCCCCCTCTCCCTCGGTTCCCTTCGCGGCAGCACCTCGGGCCTCGCCCCGGGAAGCCTCGCCGGGCGAAGGCAGGGCTTCGCTGCCCCCCACCCCACCGCCGGCCTCCCTCGAGGGCGCGCCCGCCAGGCCCCGGCGCGAATGTCGGGGGAGCAAGGCGCCGGCCTCACCTCCGACGCGGTACATGTTGGCAGCCATAGCGGCGGCGGCGGCGGGGCGAGGAAGGCCCGGCGGGCGCCGGCGGTGATGCTGAAGCCTCCGCTGCTGCTGCCGGTGCCGCCGCTGCTGCTTGCGCTGCCGTCGGCGCCGGATCCTCTGGAAAATGGAGACCGGGGAAGAGGGAGGAGACCAGTCGGGAGGAGGGGGAAGGGGCCTGGGAGGAGCCCGCCGACGCCGCCAGGCCCTCCCCGCCAGGCCGGCTTCGCTGAGGAGAGACCGGGAATGTCGCCTTCGGTTGCCCCCAGCCACCCTCCCGGGTCCTCATGCCGTGGGAAGGGCTTCTTCCCGGGGGGAAAGGCTTCGTGGCCGGCCCCTTGCCGGTCGAGGGTCTTCCCCGGCAAAAGGCCACTTTTGAAGGCCAAGCCTCCCCCTCTCTCAGTTACTTATGGGGTCCTGAGGCCCATGGAAACCCCATGCACTCTCCCGAGGGCCTAGGCAAATGTCCTTGGAGCCAGGATGTGTTTGGGAAGATTGCTGGGTCTTGCCAAGATGGCCTCGCCTAGTGCTTTTTTTTCTTTAAAAAAAATGTTTTGGGTTACTCTCGTTTTCCTACTCATATCGAAATACCGCCCCTCAATGAGGCCAAACTTAGATTCGCAATATGTTTAGGGGTGTGCGTACCCCTGCGTCCCTCCAGGGAAAAAAGCACTGGCTGTTTTCCAAAAAAAAGCGTGGATCGCAACATTTAGCTATTTTATTATTCAATTTCTATACTGCTTAATATGTTTAAAACATCTCTAAGTGGTGCACAAAAAGCTTAAAAAACAGACAAATATTTAAAAAAATTACACTGTTATGTATTAAAAGTGTTCCATTTGGTCTGCATTTAGCCATCGAGCCTTGTTTCTTCATAGAATCATAGAGTTGGAAGAGACCACAAGGGCCATCGAGTCCAACCCCCTTCCAAGCAGGAAACACCATCAGAGCACTCCTGACATATGGTTGTCAAGCTTCTGCTTAAAGACCTCCAAAGAAGGAGACTCCACCACACTCCTTGGCAGCAAATTCCACTGTCAAACAGCTCTTACTGTCAGGAAGTTCTTCCTAATGTTTAGGTGGAATCTTCTTTCTTGTAGTTTGGATCCATTGCTCTGTTTCCGCTTCTCTGGAGCAGCAGAAAACAACCCTTCTCCCTCCTCTATATGACATCCTTTTATATGTTTGAACATGGCTATCATATCACCCCTTAACCTCCTCTTCTCCAGGCTAAACATGCCCAGCTCCCTTAGCCGTTCCTCATAAGGCATCGTTTCCAGGCCTTTGATCATTTTGGTTGCCCTCCTCTGGACACGTTCCAGTTTGTCAGTGTCCTTCTTGAATTGTGGTGCCCAGAACTGGACACAGTACTCCAGGTGAGGTCTGACCAGAGCAGAATACAGTGGCACTATTACTTCCCTTGATCTAGATGCTATACTCCTATTGATGCAGCCCAGAATTGCATTGGCTTTTTTAGCTGCCGCGTCACACTGTTGGCTCATGTCAAGTTTGTGGTCAACCAAGACTCCTAGATCCTTTTCACATGTACTGCTCTCAAGCCAGGTGTCCCCCATCTTGTATTTGTGCCTCTCATTTTTTTTTGCCCAAGTGCAATACTTTACATTTCTCCCTGTTAAAGTTCATCTTGTTTGTTTTGGCCCAGTTCTCTAATTGTGCTTGATTCACAGGAAAGCAGTGGGGTGCAGTACATAAATGTAAGGTAGTGAGTTTGGGCTGGGGTGGGGGGAAGGATTCCATTGTCAAAGGAGCCACGTTTCTGGGTGACTTTACGGGACCCTTAGTCTAAGAAAGGAGGTTGCTTTGTGCTGGGGGGGCGCAAATAGGTGGGTGGTTGAGCCCCCTCCCTCACCTGGCTGGTAGTTAGGTGGACAAAGGCCAGAGCTGAGGTGTGGATGAGCTAGGCTAAAAGCAGGAGGCAGGAAGAAGCCTGAGACGAGGAGCCATGCTTGATTTCCGCTGCAATCCAAAGCTGTGCATATACAGTGGTACCTCTGGTTGCGAACAGGATCCGTTCCGGAGCCCCGTTCACATGAGCAGAACACAACCAGTGTCTGCGTGTGTGCAGGTCGCAATTTGCCACTTCTGCGCATGCACGAGCGGCGAAACCCGGAAGTAACCCGTTCCGTTACCTCAGGATGTGTATATGTGTGTAAGTAAGCCACATATCCTAAAGGCACTACAGTCTCCACTGCCCTTCATTCCTAGGAAATTGAACATTGGGTGGGTGGGCACCTAGAACCCCTGGAATCTCACGGCTCAGAGATTGGGGTGGTGGGCAACATTATGCTTTCCTGCAATGAAAAAATTACATCCCTCATATGACCCTTTTCAAAGTAGTCCTCCTCATACTATGACATCTTATCTACAGGATCTAACGATTCTAAAGATAGAAGAGCTTTCTTGAGTGCACAACTGAAGGTGCTTCCTTCAGCAGTCAGGGAACCCCACTTCATAATCTTACATGTCCATGCAGAAATGGTGATACGGAAACACTGGCCTGTGTGCTTCTGTTGTTGAGAAAATAGAAAGGAAACTAATTGTTAAAGTGTCTAAAGCAAAGCAGAAGGCTTGATTTATAGTGGACAAGAAAGATTAAAACAGATATAAACTCTCATCTTTAGTCCTTTTGTTTTTGTTTCCTGCCAGTAAAGAACAGGTGAAATCAAAAGTTAAGCAACCATCCTTAACCATGAGAAAGGAATTTGTCTGTTCTGAGAGAGCGCAACCGCACCTGTGATTTTAAGGGGGAAACATCAAGGTGGATTGAGTGGCTAATAATATCCGGAATATTAAAAGCATCCCATATGACAAATGTACTTTTGGATCAACCAGTGATGGTTGGTATAGTTAAACAGTTGATGGCTGAACAATTAAAAGTGATCAGATCAATGTTTGATGAAGATGAAGAAAATGAGACAGAGGAATATGTTGGAAAATGGAAATGGGGAAAACTCAGAAGCTTCAGACCAAATTGATAGAATGTTGGCAGTTTTGGATCATGCAGCACCAAAACTGAAGGAAGCATATAGTGATGCAGAAATGGACACTACATTCTTTTCTATTGGTTGTGTGTGTGCCTTTAGTACTAACTAAAATATTTTAATTTTCACCCAAATATTGACATACAAGATCCAAATGTCATTGAGGCACAAAGTGTGTGTGGGGGGGGGTCATTTCAAAGCAAGAGACAGGATAGGTATGTGCTTTCCAATCCAATTTTATTAGTATGGCATTAGTACCATAAAATATTTCACAAAGTAGTGTACATTGCAATTTATTCCAAAAAGGCTATGTACACTTACAGTCTTGATTTAAAAACAAACTAACAGTACAATGAAAGAGATGGACTGTTAAAAATACATAGAAATGGACAACATTCCTTCATTTTCCCTTGTCTGAAAGGTCACTCTGCACAAACACTATCCACAAACTGCTTGCTTACTGAAAGAAGCACTGAGCTAAGTTGCCAGATCTAAGGTCCCTCCATCATTAGACTCCACTTCCTATTCTTGCTCAAATGACTGATAAGCTACTGCTTCAGTAGCAGTTTTGAGACAAAGGGGTGACTTGAAAATAGGAACTAAATGGGTAACATGTTCATAATTTTATCCAGTAATCAGTGGGGCCAAACGGCTATGAAATGCAAGAGATATATCGAGAAATACAGCAGTTTGATGCATTTCCTGCCAAACCAATTTTTATCTGAATTGAAAACAAGCTGAGGTGTGTACATTTACACACTGCCTTTCTTACAGGTGGGTGGTCTTACATGGCTGATGTCAACCTATGTGCATGCACAGATGACAGCTTCATGAATGAAAATGGTTGGTGGGTTGCAGGGGTGGAGAAACCAGCTGGATGTAGCGTAAAAATACAATGGGCAACATGGAAGCACATCAAACTATGCTGATATGTAAACAACATGCAAATGTGATTTGAAATTTACCGGTGGGAGGGTGATCCCTCTGCGTTTTAAGCTGGTAATATCTACACAGCCTTTATTACAGTCAAATCTACCATCATTGGGGGGGGGGTAATAAAGTTTTCTTTATTATTTCATTTTACAATATATATATAAAACAGAAACAATTATAACAGACAAAATTAAAAAGACAAAATTATAACAGACAAAAATTAAAAGATTAAAAATAAAGCAGGCACGTAGAATGCGTAGTTGAACATGAATTAAAATAACGAAGTCCAAGTAAAGACTATCAACTTTATCAGATCATCAAGTCTAGTCCAGTTTTGCCAAGGTTGCTTTGAAAATGATGGCTTCACTGTATATGTCATAAAGGACTGGTAAATCATATAAAAAGTGTCTAGAGATTCTAGTCCTGGTTGTCAAATTATGCATGATTTTCTCCATTATAGCTATATTCCAGAGCGAATGGTACAAAGCGTCCCATGTAAGATACTGGGCTGTTTTCCATCCAGTTGCTATTACCATTTGTGCTTCCAAGTTCATATATAAGACCAATTATTTTGACTATATTTACATTGGTATCATCAAAAATATTCAGTAACATTAATTTTAGGCAACAAGCAATAGTTTCTTTAGTAATATATCCATCATCATTTGTAGATGTAACGGGGGTCTCCCCACCCCCAACTGTGTTTCAAATTGCATTTGCAAATTGTTGAACACATCAGTACAGATTGGTGCGCTCCCAGGTTGTCCACTGTCTGCGCAGTGGGCAGAGAGGATGTGTGGATATCTTCGTATGACTTACATTTTCAAATCTGACGGAAGCTGGTTTGGTGGGAAACACATCAAAACACAGTATTTCTCAATAAAGTATAGCATAGATGCCAGTTGTGGCTAACGTGTGTTCATGGATTTACAAACCAGCAGTGGGAGCACACTGGTGGCGGAGTCAATGAGAGTACACACAGCTTCTAATGGAAGAACTCGAGGCGCAAGAGAGTAGCCCCAAAGAGCTACAACAGCACCTGTTTTAAAGAACAAAGTTCTTTTCCTTAACAAAAGCAACCATTACCAGTTCTGATGTTTTCTGGTTACAAACTTTTCCGAGTGCCTCAAACCAAACATGGCAAGAGAGGCATCTATGATACAAGGCTATTGCTACCAACACCTCAGTTTGCAACTGTTTGAGCAGTTAACTCAGGACAAAGTCACACTGTCTCGTAGCATGGATATAGCATAACTAATCCAGGCCTTGTACTTTATTGTAAATGTGATATTGCTATTGGTGGCTTCTGAAGTGTGTGAGCAAGTCTAAATCCACCCAATAGGAGCACAAAATAGTTGCCACGGGGTGTGTGGAAGTCCTAGACCAAGGGTAAGCAAACTAAGGCCCGGGGGCCAGATCCGGCCCAATCGCCTTCTCAATCCGGCCCGCGGACGGTCCTGGAATCAGCATGTTTTTCCATGAGTAGAATGTGCCCTTTTATTTAAAACACCTCTCTGGGTTATTTGTGGGGCCTGCCTGGTGTTTTTACATGAGTAGAATATGTGCTTTTATTTAAAATGCACCTCTGGGTTATTTGTGGGGTATAGGAATTTGTTCATATATATATTTTCAAAATACAGTCCGGCCCCCCACAAGGTCTGAGGGACAGTGGACTGGCCCCCTGTTGAAAAAGTTTGCTGACCCCGGTCCTGGAATTAGTCTCTATGTATAATGGATAGAAAATTTAATTACACCCATTTATAGCAAAGAATATTTCAACCACTGCTGGCCAGTCCAGAGCTTGGTGAAGTAGACACAGGAATATGAAATGTGCTTTAGTCATTGTGGTTGGACAAGCATGAAGGAGGACGGAAGGAGGAAACCAAGCAACTTCCTTTAAAGGGCTGCTTTGTCCAATCAGAAATATGTGTGTGCTTGTGTTCCTTTTCCCCAAGGCAATGCTGGAAGCTATCTTAGAGCAAGCAGCAAGCTTAAATCACCTTGGATTGGACTTGCCTTCTAAGAAAAGTCAAGGGTTGCTCTCTCACAAAACTTTATGGAAAGGCAGTGCCACATTCCCAAAGTGCAGCACAAATTGAAGCAATCGTGTAAAGAACGAGTGGGGAACATTTTTTCATCTTGAGGGCTACCTTTCCTTAGGGGCAGCCTTCTGGGGGCCACATATCGCAGTGGATGGGGCCAGAGATGGAGGAAGCAACAGATGCAACTGTACAGCAAGCCAATTTCTACAGATGCCCCCCACACACCTCTCCCATTCTGGCAAGAGTTCAAGGACACATTCCAATGGGGCAAAAATATTCTAGGAGAGATGAGTGAGGGGTGCTGTCTGGGGAAAGGGGTTGGCCCAGGGAAAGGCCCAAAAACTAGACCGGACTGGAGGGCCATACGCAGTCCCCAGGCCTTAGGTTCCTCACCTTCCAACAATAAGAACAAACAATAAGAGAAATAAAAATTAAAAAATTGAACATATGCCTGTAGCAGACATCTCGGGACACACACACATCAGCACACCATACAAGAGTGGCATTACAGGGATCTTCAACAGAATTAGTGTTTGTTTTTATCTTAAGAAAGATATGCCAAATGAGCCCAAACCTGCGGCTTGGGGGCAAGGGAAGAGAGAACTGACAAGGCACCCAAACCTTCTGGAAGTTTTCAGACGGCTCATCTGCCTGGGTACTCGTTATTGCTGGGCTCTACCAACAATTTTGTCCATTGGCTCCTTTTCAGGGTGATTCAGGGCTGTATAGAGTTGGGCCGATACTGAACAACTTGCAGACCCAACTTTGAACAGTAAGGAAATTGATCAAATGATATAATGAAGACTTTGTGGCCAAGGAAAAGCTCACAGAAATCTTCCTAAGATCTGGGTACTTGTCGGTAATACAATAATTTTATCACCCTCTCCCCAACACACAGAAACACACCAGTGTTTGGGGGAAGACCTTTCCTGCCAAGACTTAAAGGTAAAGGTAAAGGGACCCCTGACCATTAGATCCAGTCGCGGACAACTCTGAGGTTGTGGCGCTCATCTCGCTTTATTGGCTGAGGGAGCCGGCGTACAGCTTCCGGGTCATGTGGCCAGCATGACTAAGCCGCTTCTGGTGAACCAGAAGCAGCGCACGGAAACGCCGTTTACCTTCCCGCCGGAGCGGTACCTATTTATCTACTTGCACTTTGACGTGCTTTCGAACTGCTAGGCTGGCAGGAGCAGGGACCGAGCAACGGGAGCTGACCCTGTCATGGGGGATTCGAACCGCCGACCTTCTGATCGGCAAGCCCTAGGCTCTGTGGTTTAACCCACAGCGCCACCCGTGTCCCTTTTTGCAAATACTTAGGCCCCTGCAATAATGTCTTTCCCTGCCGCCTGCCCAACACCATAGACAGAAGTATCTCATTGGGAGTTCAAAACTCATTTGCCACCAGAAGCAGGGAACAGTGGAAGGACATTTGGGGCACATTGTCCAAAGTGATCTATGCATTCTAGTTTAATGGTGTGTACAAAGAAAGTCTTGTAGGCGGTCCTAGAGGGAAGGGGGAATATGGCCAAAATTCTGCAAGAGGATAAGGAACTAGTGTGGAGTATCTGCAGGACTGTGCTATTCTGTAGGTGCAGACATGGCTATAGTGCTGAAATAAGTCCTATTCACCATGCTGAGCACCAGCTCTATCTCCCAGGCACTCTCTTTTCTTCTCTTTCGTGACAACATAATGTTTGCAAAAATTATCTCACATTAACGGGTCAACATTAGTAAGTGCAAATTGCTAGACACACCGAGCCCCAAACTGGTATTCTACATGCTGGTAATTGCATCGGAAGTTCCCAGATGGAAATTGGGCTGCTTTTAAATATTGCTGATATGGGCAGTACTACATTTCTAAATAACGTTCATAATTTATGTTTCGAAAAGTGCTCTACCACAAGCCAGATAGCCACGAGTTTGGGGGTGGGGGGGATCAGATTACATAATCACAGTCAGAAGGTCTGTCACTTGCATGAGCAGCAATTTGCAATCAATTGTGGCAGGCTGTCCATTCTGGGACAAGGAGAGAATGATTTCAACAATTTTGCTTCTATGTAAAATTTAGGGGTTAGCATTTATTTCAACACAAAGAAGTTGTCAAAATGGGCACCCTCATATTGGATTGGTTCAGAAGCGATACAAGTGATTTCCCCAGAAATAAAAAGCAACTTGGATGATTTTATCAGCCAATCTGATACTCATTATTTAGCTTCCAAGCTGCGCCAATTCTTCCTTTCCACCCATTCAGTCCAGCATTCCTCTGAAATTTCTCCTGCTTTCAATGAAAGTGGACCTTCTGATGCTACTGGGGGAGGGGGGTGTTGCTGGTAAGAGGAAGTGAGGAAAATCTGACACACACACCCTCACACCTTCTCTCTCTTTTCCCTTGGGAAAAATGGCATTGCCTAGGTCTATCAGGGATTTTAATCCTGGTACTCATAATGATCATGGTGACAAGCAGTGGCAATAAAAAGGCGTAGATCAGATGTCCTAGATGGAGAAGTTGTCTTGAAAGCAGGGAGTAATTTGGGTGGGGGAGGCTGGATGAGTGCTAAGGAAGGGCACCCTGGAAGTTACTCTCCAGCTGAATTTGGAAAATTTCACAAGCATGCTCCCACTCTCCATCTAATTGGGTTCTACGTTAATAAGCAAGTTACTCTTGGGTTTTTAAAAAAATATTAAGGGCTCTTGCAAGTATCTTAGATGGCTGGCTAGACTTAATATTGAATTGCTGAGGTTTTAAGTACTATCCTTCCCTTGCAGACAACAGAAGAACAAACAGAAGCGTATCTGAGCTGTTATCCAAGCACGTAAGTAAGAGAGCACAAACAGCTGGTACTCATGTGTTGTGGCTTGCAGAACTGTCCCATAATTCCTGCTCTGTTAGGATTTGGAATGCCCAAATATGCAGATGGGGAAATGCTTGACATGGGAAGACCACTGTGCTGCTAGCTGGAAGAACTTCACGTCGTTCCACTCCACTCCATCAATAAGCACTGCAGCAGGAGATAAACAAAGAAAGATGATTAGGACAGAAGTGCTTGGGGACCTGGTTTCAACTTACACCCCAGCAATTTCCCCTTGCCATAAAAATAAATGCATCAAAATTCATCCAGATACATTGCAAAACCCTTCCCTAAAAAGGTAAAGGATCTCTGACAGTTAAGTTCAGTTGCGAACGACTCTGCAGTTGGGGAGCTCATCTCGCTTTACTGGCCGAGGGAGCCGACGTTTCTCCGTAGACAGTTTTTCTGGGTCATGTGGCCAGTATGACTAAGCTGCTTCTGGTGAAACCAGAGCAGCGCACGGAAACGCTGTTTACCTTCCCGCCGGAGCGGTACCTCTTTATCTACTTGCACTTTGAGTGCTTTCGAACTGCTAGGTTGGCAGGAGCAGGGACAGAGCAAGGGGAGCTCACTTTCAGGCTGAGGGAGCCGGTGTTTGTCCACAGACAGCTTTCCAGGTCATGTGGCCAGCATGACTAAACCGCTTCTGGCGCAACGGGACACCGTGAGAAGTGCCAGAGCACACGGAAACGCTGTTTACCTTTCCGCCACAGCGGTACCTATTTATCTACTTGCACTGGCATGCTTTCAAACTGCTAGGTTAGCAGGAGCTGGGACAGAGCAATGGGAGCTCACCCCATCGTGGGGATTCAAACCGCCAACCTTCCACTTGGCAAGCCCAAGAGGCTCAGTGGTTTAGACCAGTGTTTCCCAACCGGTGTTCCGCGGCACACTAGTGTGCCGCCGGACGTTGCCTAGTGTGCCGTGGGAGTAGTGGCGTAGCGTGGGGGGTGCCAGGGGTGCCAGTCGCACCGGGCGCAACATCTGCGGGGGGCGCGAGTCCAGAGGGAAGGGACAAGTTCCTTCCTCCGCCGGGCTCCCCGCCGCCACCGCCAGCCTTGCGCCCTAGCGCGCGCGCCCCCCGCCGCCGCTGCGGCTGCGCTCCACTCACTGCTCGCAGGAGGAGCAGCCACTGCAGCAGCGCTGACACCGCCACCGACGCCTGGCCGGGCACGGGCAGCCTCCGCACGCCGACGCCATCCCCTTCCCCCTTTTTTTCCAGAGCTGGGGGAGGGGGAGGTTTTAAAAGGGGGTCTTGCATTGGCGATCCTGCAGCACTTTGGGCCGCACGACGCGAGCGCGCAGCACGGATCAGCCACGACCCCACCCCCGTGCATTTCCCGGGGAAAAGTGCTCCACGTGGGAGGCGCGTTTCCCCTTCATTCCCTCTCGTGCAAATCCTCCTTGGGTTCCCTCCCCCGTCTTTCCTCTCCCTACCTCACAAAAGCCTCACCTCGTCGCCTCCTCGCTGCCTCTCGCCTCCGCAGGAGCGTTTCCCTCCGCGGAAGAAGGAGCAGGGCGCTTTTTGCAACTTTGCCTTCCCCGCCCCACCACGGAGCACATTTTCCTCGCCCCCCCCCAACCCCCGCATGTAGAATAGAAGCCCTCCAGCCTCCACGGTGCACAAACTCTCCCCTCTGCAACGAAGCGCTTTGTTGCATATCTTTGGTGAGGTTTTTAGGCAGTCTTGGTGCACCTTAAATCAGCGCTAATTGCGCCTGGACGCAGTATTTACTTCTGAGTAGGCCCCCTTCTCCCCCCCCCCCGTAGCACCTGACGTTGCTATTCGTATCATCAGGTTTGTTTGTTGATAATTTAATTGTTTTAAAAGCATCATGCTAAAGAGCTCTCTCCCACCCCCAGACCCTTGGGCAAAACAGAAACACACACATACACAAACACAGAGATTGAGCCCTGCAGGTTTTATGAAATGAATGGATTCTGAATGCCTGTTTCAGTGGCTTGTCCGCCTTAGGCTGCTGGGCCAGACACCTGTTACACGGTGCAGTCCGTAAGCTGTGAGCGCTGCTACCTGCCGCCGAGACCGCATAACGACAGTCTTGAAAGACCTACATTGGCTCCCAGTACCTTTCCGAGCACAATTCAAAGTGTTGGTGCTGACCTTTAAAGCCCTAAGCGGTTTCGGTCCAGTATACCTGAAGTAGCGTCTCCGCCACCATCGTTCAGCCCCAGACACTGAGATCCAGTGCCAAGGGCCTTCTGGCAATTCCCTCACTGTGAAAAGTGAGGTTACAGGGAACCAGGCAGAGGGCCTTCTCGGTAGTGGCGCCCGCCCTGTGGAATGCCCTCCCATCAGACATCAAAGAGATAACCATTACCTTCTATGCTGTTACTATTTTTTTATTTTTTTTTACATAAGTAAAAAGTGACCTTTCCCCATCTGGCATGGTGGTGTGCCTCGATATTTTTTTCATGAAACAAGTGTGCCTTTGCCCAAAAAGGTTGGGAAACACTGGTTTAGACCACATCAGCACCCGGGGCTACGGCCGTAAAAAGGTTGGGAAACACTAATTATTATTATTGTTCAGGGAAGTTTTTAACGTGTGACATTTTAATGTATTTTTAATCTTTGTTGGAAGCCGCCCAGAGTGGTTGGGGTACAAATAATAAATTATTATTATTATTATTATTATTATTATTATTATTATTATTATGATTATGATTATTATTATTATTATTATTATGATTATTATGATTATGATTATTATATAGTGTGAAAACAATCATAGGCACGAGGAGGAAAGAGGCAAGTGATGACCCCTTCTCTTCAAATGGGGGTGTTCTGGATTTGGTCGGAGAATCTGGGCCTAAAGCTCAACTTCATTCTAGCTAGCTCTGCAAAGGAACTAAACCCGTAAACACAAGAGATAAAGAATGAACTAAGGAGGATGTCCAAAAGCAGACTGGCAGTCGTAGCACTGGATAACGTGCACTTACCCTGCAACATAGTCTGCTGATGCTTCGCTGTGCAAATCAGCCGGCTGATCCCCTCTATGCACTGACTCTTAGAATCAAAGTCTTTGTCTTTCACTTTCTTAGGCAGAAACATCACTAGAGGAAATGAAGCAGATATGTAAACACAGCAGCACCATCTTTCGGTGTCCTCTCTCCTGAGTGAACGTCTTAAGATCCAGAAGGCTGGGAATTGATGGGACCTTTTACAGTACAAAGGAATCCCTGCTTACACGGGGATTCCATTCCTGGCTGCCGCGTGCACCAGAAGGACACGCCCAAGTCCAGTCTGCCCCGCCCCTTTTCAGCATCAAAAATGGCACACACATCAGCAGTCGTGTGCATGCTCGTTGCACGCCAAGTGGAGAGGTGCCTGTACATATCTGGTTTCTGCTAGGGGATCTCAAACTTTCTATCTGCAGGGCCCACTTGAGATGGCTGAAAACGGCTGACGTCCACCAGTCACATAATGGTGCTACTACAGGGGCAAAGCCAGTCACAAAATGGTGGCAGACTTTGGCATAATTATTGACAATTTCTATTGATATCTGCTCTGGCTCTGGAGATATTGTGACCTCCCCAGCCCACATTTGAGACAAAATCCACTGATCCAGAAGCTCTAAGCCAGGCATAGGCAAACTCAGCCCTGCAGATATTTTTTGGGACTACAACTCCCATGATCCCTAGCTAACAGGACCAGGGGTCAGGGAGGATGGGAATTGTAGTCCCAAAACATCTGGAGGGCCGAGTTTGGCTATGCCTGCTCTAAGCAGAGGGTTTTTCTTTTATATTTTTCCTTCTCACCTACCCCTGTGCCTCTCAAAGAATGTTTACCCATCTCCTATATCTTCTCCTGTTCTCCTTTCACATTCAACTTCTATTCCCCCCCCACACCTGTCAAATTCGGCCCACAGGGTGTGGCCAGAAAAAAGATTTGGTCCCTGGATTTGAAAGGGTTTTCCACCCCTGTCCTAAAGGATCCAGCTCCTAAAGCATGATGTCTACAGCACTGAAGTGTGGCACAAAGCTCCTTCCTCCAGGTAAGGCTGGTGTGCCAGTTGGCCACAATTACCGTATTTTTCACTCTATAGGACGCACCCGACCATAGGACGCACCTTGTTTTAGAGGGGGAGAACAAGGGAAAAAATTCTCCCCCTCTCTGCTCAGCGCCCCTTCAGTAAAGCGGCAGGAGAAACGGAGCCCCTTCCATTTCTCCTCCCACTTAGCTGAAGGGGCACTGCGCAGCTCTCCCTCTCTGCTGAAGCCAGGAGAGTCTTGCTCTCCTGGCTTCAGCGAAAGGAACCTGAAGCCTTCGGAGCGCAGCAGGAACTTGCGGTGCGCTCCGAAGGCTTCGGGTTCCTTTCGCTGAAGCCAGGAGAGTCTGCACCGATCCCTTTCACTCTCCAGGCTTCAGCGAAAGCAATGCGAAGCCTCCGGAGTGCGGAGGGAGCGCTCCCTCTGTGCTTCAGAGGCTTTGTGTTGCTATTGTGGAAGCCAAGGAGCCTGTATTCGCTCCATAGGATGCACACACATTTCCCCTTAATTTTTGGAAGGGAAAAAGTGCGTCCTATAGAGCGAAAAATACGGTGCCCAAGCACCTGTAATGTCTTGTTTATACTATTTTTAAAGGAGGGAATGACAGTACAAATTCAATGTAGTTCTATTTCCACTCTAACCACAGGGGGAAAGCTCGAGGTGAATTTCTATGCTCATTGGACAGTAGACACAAATGCTAACAAGCCACTCCAACATGAGAAAATAAAGTTTACACTATGATCAGTTTCCACATGTGAAGTAAACTGGCCCTAGCTTGAGCTAGATTTAGAGCAGCCAGCAAGACAGAAAGGTATGCTAAAATTAACTGGAAACTAGTGGAATTAAATGCATCTCACACACTAACAAAGTCAGTGATTTTGACCTCCAGGAATATTTTACTACTGAAAAATGCTAGTGTTAAGCAATAGAACATATGTTACAATAGCCAAGAAGCGTCCCTTTTCTGCACCTTTTTTGTTCTTTTCCTTTGTGACAACCGTCATTGACATTGTTGGAGTGGAAATGGCATCCCCACTCGTAGGCAGCCGGCTGACCTGGAGAGACCGAAAAGTGCATTTCAGAGTGTTTTTGGCAGCAGAGGGGTCCTTTTTTTCTGAGTCTCTCTTCTTCTCCGTAGGATGAGTTGCAATCCAGTAATCCACCTGAAGGCCCATCAGTTCCATACCAAGGCTACAGCTGAAATACGTTAGGAAAATACTATCATTTGTAAGCTGTGACAGTCCCAGATAGCCCAGGTGAGAAACACGGATGATACCAAATTGAAAAGCATTCTTGGAACAGTGCTTAGTATTTGACACTGTGATCTACCTTTCAAGTGTCTTGGCTGCACGGCTGCAGTCAAAAGACTTCTCACATAACTATAAAGAACTCAGGCACATATATTTGAAAATAGAGAATGTAACTTGAGACCCAAATGACAACTCAATATTAGAGCCTCCTCAAGAATCTTGTGCCAGGTGTGTCTTTGCACTGAGGCACCTAGGAACCAGAGTTTGAGGCCTCTTCAGAACTGAGTGTGACTTGCAGGTACACACCTGTCTTCAAAAACAGTGTAAGAAGCAACATATTGTTCAGTTGGACCACTTCCTATCTAATATGTAGACCATCTTAATTAGAACTTAACAGGACTGATCTATTTATGTAATTTCAACGTTGTTTGAAAACAGATTCCAACTAAATGCTATATAACATTGCTGACTTAAGAGCAAAATTAGATGTGGTCATGTTCTGCTTAATTCTTCATAAAGCCCAGAAATGATGGGGATATTAAAAGTGCTGCATGGGCAGAGGGAGAGAGAAGTGTTGAACTCTTTTCTTTGTAGGGTATTACATAGCGTAGTGGAAAATTTTGAAGTGCAGGAGATCATCGCAGCAGCCCTAATGAACCACACCCCTAAGGAAAGTCCCAAAATGCAGGCTGGTTTTGACCTGCATGTGGGATGTGATATGTAAGTAGCAGTGAAGTACAGCATTCCTTGTTTTCCTAGAGTGGACATGCAGGGGAGTGTTTGGTCCAGCCAGTTGAAAACTTCCTGTTTGCTCCTGGCTGGGACATACTTCCTTTGCATGTGACTACAGGTGGGTGTGACCTTACCTGTCCAGGTAACAAAAGGGACAAGGCATGCTGCACTCTCTCTCTTTATGACTTCCTCCATCGTTGGAGCAATTTTTCACTTCCAGCCAACACACAGGGATTATCCCCATATGGGATAGATCCACATGTATATACTTCGTAACTAAGTCTGCCTTCAGGGATCACACTGTGCTCTGCCTGATGTAAGTAAACTTCTTTTATTGACTTAGAATAAGATTGTGGTGTCTTTTTTCTTTTAAGATGGATTTAAGGGAACTTACCACGAATGTACAATTCAGTCTAAGACAGACTGAATTGTATAAAAGTGAGAGGCTTACACAAGCCTGCAACTAGCTACCCACTGTGTGTTTAAAGGGGGAATGTGAAACTCTGCTAAGTGAAGGAACTTGCTAGTGCAAGTTAGGGAGGATATTAATAAACAATATATCCTCTCCTGCCTCCCTGAACATTCCTATACTGCAAAGCCTTAAAAGGCTCAGGACTGCAATTCCTCAAGGACTGCCGCTCTCTATATGAACCAACCTGCACCCTGCAATCATCATCTAAGGCCTTTTTCGTGTGTCCTCAACAAAAGCAGGCCTTTTCTGCAGTGGCTGTGTTTGTGGACGCTCTCAAAATTATCCAAGGGATGGAGCAACTCCTTTATGAAGAAAAGTTGCCACATTTGGGACTTTTTAGTTTAGAGAAAAGGTGAGTAAGAGACAGCATTCCAACACTGAGATTCCTGCATTGCAGGGTGTGGACCCCAAGATTCCTCCCAACTCTACAATTCTATGATTTTATGACATGGTAGAAATTTATAAAATTATCCACTTTCACTATATAACGCACATAGAAAAGTTTTTCTCCCAACCTCATAAAACTGATATTTCAAATTACTATCCTTTAAATTACTATTCAAAATATTCCAATTACTATTTTGAATTATTAATTTGATATTGAATTGTATTAACCATTTTGATGAATTTTTTGTCGTTTGCTTTATTTATGTTATTGCGTTTCATAGTAAAGTGACTATATCGTTTTTCACCTCAGGAAAAACTTGAGTTAATGTCTGAAGGTTGCTAGCATAACCTAGTGTCAAAAACAGGTGCAAGGTAGGCTCTATCAGGAAGACCTGCTGAAGTAAACAACTAAATATTGCTTTGGGGGGAGATTTAATTTTCAGAAAGGTGTTGAATCGGCTGAGATGAAAGAGAATATGAGCAAATCACGAGGATAAACTGGCAATTCAAGGTCCTCATATAAAGGGGTGTTACTTCTTCTGTATTTCATAATAGAAGTAATAATAATAATAATAATAATAATAATAATAATAATAATAATAAATTTTTATTTATATCCCGCCCTCCCCAGCCGAAGCCGGGCTCAGGGTGGCTAGGTAAAAGGTAAAGGTACCCCTGCCCGTACGGGCCAGTCTTGACAGACTCTAGGGTTGTGCGCTCATCTCACTCTATAGGCCGGGAGCCAGCGCTGTCCGCAGACACTTCCGGGTCACGTGGCCAGCGTGACAAGCTGCATCTGGCGAGCCAGCGCAGCACACGGAACGCCGTTTACCTTCCCGCTGGTAAGCGGTCCCTATTTATCTACTTGCACCCGAAGGTGCTTTCGAACTGCTAGGTTGGCAGGCGCTGGGACCGAACGATGGGAGCGCACCCCGCCGCGGGGATTCGAACCGCCGACCTTTCGATCGGCAAGTCCTAGGCGCTGAGGCTTTAACCCACAGCGCCACCCGTGTCCCCAGGGTGGCTAACAACAATAAAATAATACAATATTATAAAATCATTTAATTATAAAATTAATTCAAATCAAATTGATGGCAACCACTGGGCTAGAGTTCTGTGAAGATTGCCAAAAGGAGGGAGTCAGGCTGTGCCCTGGCCAAAGGCTTGGTGGAACAGCTCTGTCCTGCAGGCCCTGCGGAAAGATGTCAGGTCCCGCAGGGCCCTAGTCTCTTGTGGCAGAGCGTTCCACCAGATCGGAGCCACAGCCGAAAAAGTGAGGAAAAAAGGGAGAAGGTGCTTTACCTGGAGGAAGCCAAGGTGCCTGTGACCGATGGGGAGGAGGGTGGGGTGGGAGAAGATTCCTTCAGAGCAGGAGACACAGAAGGTGGGGTTGAGGAAAGGACACTTGAACTGCAGGGAGCAGCATCATCCGAGTCACCTTTAAAAACAGGATTCAAATGGTTGGTCTGCAGACAACAAAGACCACTTTAAGCATCATATGGCAAACAATGACCTTTACAGGATAGATGGAAAGAAGGCAGACGAGGCGCGACAGACATATCAGCAGAACAAGAGATGCAGAGAAAGCAAAGCTACGGCCCCTCCAAAGACGAAAGTTAGAATAAAAGTAGCATGGAAAACCCCTGTGCCTGGCAGACCTAAGGGAAGGATCCGGCCGTGGTAAGTAGGTGTAATTAGTAGCCTGGCTTACTTTCCTAGAGGCAAAACTGAGGACTGCATCAGTTATGGTTACAGTCGTTGCAGATCAATCACAAGGAGGAACATGAGTTTAATTTTTTGAAATGGTAAATAAAATACAAGTGGAATAAAAACGAGGAAAGTTCTAAAGCAAAATGGAGGAAAAAATATATGTAAAAGTTATTGAGATACTATTTTCCTTTGTCTTCATAGAGGAACGGAATTGTAATATCGGAAGGATAATTTAGTCCCTGCAAAACAGGAATCTTTTTGCCCAATGTGAGGTTTGGACCCACAACCCTGGGATTAAGATTCTGAGGTGCTACCAGCTGAGTAACAGATATTGCTATCATGCCTATTATAAAATAAGCCTGTGCGAATGAGCTATCTTAATATTAGCTAAGCACCGAGAAAATGTTAGGCACTTATTAAGTAATTAGCATATAATATTATGCTTTATTATTATCAGTGATGATAGTCGTAGTAGTAATACTGTAATATTGACAATGGCAGAAGAATTCAGAGGATCTAGATCAGGCTGGGGGGAAGTAGAAAAGTGGAGTAGCAATTTGTTTTAAAGTGTAAATTTTGTAATTTTCCACAATCCTTTTATGAATATCTTTTCAATATTCGATTGAAGTTGAAGTACACATATTACGACACACAGAGAGAGGGGGAAAGAAAACTAATGTGAATAAGAAAGAGTATAATGAAAATGAAGTTATACCCTCCCAAATTACTCACAAGTCAGGTTAGTGTATCTTTCCAAAGGAATGAGATAAATGGTAACAAATCCCTGATTTAGCTTTGCTGATGTAGGGGCTCCTCCAGAGCTTTGATCCCAATTTGCTCACACAAAGCTGACATGGAGGTTAAATTATATTCTCTTTATTGAGCATTCCTTCTGATTGGTTTTCAGGGTGGCTCTAGGGCAGTGAGCATTCAGCCTGCATTCATTCTGATTTCCTTGAGGGTGTTTGTGAGGGATTAGTGGAAGAGACAGAACAAAGTGAGCTTGTGTCCTTTGGAGGCTTTGCTTTTGTGCGTGTTTTGCTGTGTGCTCTGCTTCAGAACACGGTCTGAAGGGGATGGCTACTGCTGAGAGGAAGTTAGTCAGGGGTCTACGGAGAGCCATGTGGATAAAAAATGATACTGACAGACACAGCATTCAACCTATAGCAAAGGACTACCCCAGAATCGGTCACGACTGGACCTAATGGTCAGGGGTCCCCTTTACCTTTAACCTTTATGAGGCTTTGGGTAGGAAATATAATAATAATAATAATAATAATAATAATAATAATAATAATAATAATACAGTGGTGCCTTGCAAGACGAAATTAATCCGTTCCGCGAGTCTCTTCGTCTTGCGGTTTTTTCGTCTTGCGAAGCACGGCTATTAGCGGCTTAGCGGCTATTAACGGCTTAGCGGCTTAGTGGCTATTAACGGCTTAGCGGCTTTAAGAAAAAGGAAACAAACTCGCAAGACGTTTCGTCTTGCGAAGCAAGCCCATAGGGAAATTCGTCTTGCGGAAGGACTCAAAAAACGGAAAACCCTTTCGCCTAGCGAGTTTTTCGTCTTGCGAGGCATTCGTCTTGCGGGGCACCACTGTAATAATAATAATATTAATATATTATTTATACCCCACTCATCTGGCTGGGCTTCCCCAGCCACTCTGGGTGGCTTCCAACAAAATATGAAAACACCGTAATACATCAAACATTAAAAGCTTCCCTAAACAGGGCTGCCTTCAGATGTCTTCTAAAAGTCTGGTAGTTGTTGTTCTCTTTGACATCTGGTGGGAGGGCGTTCCACAGGGCGGGCGCCACTACCGAGAAGGCCCTCTGCCTGGTTCCCTGTAACTTGGCTTCTCGCAGTGAGGGAACCGCCAGAAGGCCCTCGGAGCTGGACCTCAGTGTCCAGGTAGAACGATGGGGGTGGAGACACTCCTTCAGATATACTGGACTGAGGCCGTTTAGGGCTTTAAAGGTCAGCACCAACACTTTGAATTGTGCTCGAAAGCTGAAAGACCTTGTGAGCATGCAATGGAGTGAGGTCAGTGGACATGGGAGACTACGCTAGTCCCCTAAACGTTCAAGGTAAATGATAGTATTAAAGCATTAAAGCCTGGTGCCTCCTTCCCAAAGCCCGGGAAGCTTTTGTCCGGCTTATGGAGGGAGATATGATGCTTCGATGGGGACCAAGAGCCCTCTTGCCAAGGGCTCCAGCATCTGCACACCCTCCAGCTTGTCAAGATCCTTCTTCAACTGTGGTGCTCAGAACTGGTTGCAGAACAGAGCAGAGACTATCGCTTCCCTTGATCTGGACAATATACTTCTATTGGGGCACTATTATAAAATACAATTGAAAAACAGACATCTGGGATCGTGTTATGTACTGAGTTGATTAGGATCCAAAATGCAGCAGTCTGATTGGTCCTAGAACAATGCAGCAGTATGACTGGTCCGCAGGAGCCACCCAATCCAGCTCCAGGTGGAAGTGAATCCACAACTTGATTGGCCTACAGGAGAATCCCGGAATTAGCCAATCACGTGCAGCCCATTGTGTAAATAATGTATATAAAGCAGATATTGTGGGGGAACTTCCATTCCTCCTCACCACTATGAGCTGAATAAAGAGCATGAAATCCACTCTCGACTCCGAGTATATTTCAGATCACTTGGACTATAGTCAGACTACCGGCCTCCAACGTCCATGGCATGCTTTAGTGAGAAATTACAACATCGTTGAAAGTTTTTATTACCTGAAGTTGCAGAAGACTGTTCAACTATTCCAACTTTTACCACCTGGAGGAAGAAAAACATTTTACATAGAATTATTAGCTCTGCAATGACAGTTTAATCAGTTCCCTGTACCCATTGAAAAGCAGCTGACTTTGTTGTTGAGGGGAGCTCAAAAGAGAAGTGTTTTGGGGGTGGGAAATGTGTCCCCACTGACTTGCTAATCAGACTAACGTTAACCGTTTTGTGGGGGGTGGGGTATTACCGGTTTGTTTTTGTTTTATTCTATATTTTGTGTTTTCATTTTGAATTTCAATGTTGCAAACTACACTGCGATCTTCAGGTAAAGGGCAGTACACGAATTCAATAAATAAAAAAGTAAAATAAATAAATTTGGTTACCTGCGCTGAGGTCAAAGCGCAGTTCAGTAAACGGAAAGCATCAGTCATGAAGTATCCAAGGAAATATTGCAATTGCTCTCAACGGGACGCAAGGTTCAATGTGTGCATGTGCATGTAGAATTGGATCAGAGTTTCAGAGTGAGGGCAATACAGCTTTGGTTGTATAACATAGCCAAATATGACTGACTATGTAGCTCCACAACATCAGGATACCAACTAACATGATTTCTGATTGAGAAGGAAAACGTCATCTTCGGATTTGTTAAAAATTGTGCTGCTGCCACAGATTGTGGACGTAACAGCTGTAAAAGGTAAAGGGTCCCCTGACCATTAGGTCCAGTCGTGGACGACTCTGGGGTTGCGGTGCTCATCTTGCTTTATTGGCCGATGGAGCCGGTGTACAGCTTCTGGGTCATGTGGCCAGCATGACTAAGCCACTTCTGGTGAACCAGAGCAGCGCACGGAAACGCCGTTTACCTTCCCGCCAGAGCTGTACCTATTTATCTACTTGCACTTTGATGTGCTTTTGAACTGCTAGGTTGGCAGGAGCAGGGACCGAGCAACGGGAGCTCACCCCGTCACGGGGATTCAAACCACCAACCTTCTGATTGGCAAGTCCTAAGCTCTGTGGTTTAACCCACAGTGCCACCCGCGCCACCAGCTGTAAACAGGCATTAAAAAATGTGGAAAAATGAAAGACGGGGATTTGGGGGTGTTTGTTGTAATCTCTGAAAGCACACTTTCCATCATGAAAATATTTGGGGATGAAAATTTGTCAGAGTTCTTAATGGAAAAAAATGCTACTCACTCCAACAAAAGGGATGAACTTCTGAGCAGATTCTTCACCTGGGCTAAAAAGATCAGAGAATCATGATCATTTCAAAAGCCAGAAGCTGGAAATTTTCTTATTGTTACTATCAAGCATGCAGTGGTTGCAAAAAACATGCAAGCAAAGAGTTCTCTATATCAGTGTTTCCCAACCTTGGGCCTCCAGCTGTTTTTGAACTACAATTCCCATCATCCCTGACCACTGGTCTTGCTAGCTAGGGATGATGGGAGTTGTAGTCCAAAAACAGCTGGAGGCCCAAGGTTGGGAAACACTGCTCTATATGCCCAGAATAATTCTTCTGCTGCAAACCCATGCAGAATGAAATTTAGCCGGCACACGGACATGTGCACACAAGCATGCGCAGACACACCCTACACTCATAAAAGCAGCACACTTGTCCTTACTTTGACACTTGTGTAGTTAGTGCAACATGATTTAACATAAAGAGAAAATTTATTCAAATAATATATAAAAGAGGTGACTAACAGTATATGTATATTATGTTGAATTGCCCATTACAAGCAAATATTATGCATTTCACGAATGTAAAACTAGGTACCATTTACTTATTTTATTGTATTTTATTTATTATATTCATATACTGCCCTTTATCACGAGATCTCAGGGCAGTTTACAGAGTAAAATACAATATAAAAACACAAGTTTTGAAAGGAAACATAAGAAGAAAGAACCCCACCCCACACCTTCCCACAGACACATTTTAAAGGGTGTAGAATATTAATCAGCCCAAGGCCTGGTTGAAGAGGAACATTTTCCCCGGCACCTAAAATATAAATAATGAAGGCGCCCAGTGGAAATGGGGAAAGCATTCATTCCACAAGCGGGGAGCCACTGCAGAAAAGGCCCTTTCTCGTGTTGCCACTGTGATAGGAATTTTGAGATCTTAGATATATGGTAATGTTCATAACCGCACGTGCATAGATCAGCACAAGAAGACCAACCTGGAACCATTTTGATTCCTAAACTGAGCAAATGTTTTCTCTGCAAGGTCAAAGTGGAAAAGCCTCCCCATTGTCTTTTCCTTCACAAATCCTGTCTTAAGGGTATGTCTGTGTTTGAATAGGGTGTGAGCCTGTGACCTGGCCCAGGAACTAAGTATTTATCACTACAAAAGACTGGCCAGGCTCCCCAGGAAATCCAATCAAGTAACCTGCCAGACAGGAGATAAACAAGCGACAGGAGATAACAAGATTCAAATTTCTGTTTTAGACCGCCTTTTCTGTGATGTAGGTGTGATGTATCTGAGGAGTGGTCTTAGGTTACACCCCTTCTGTGATGTATGTATGATGTTTCTGGGGGTGGTCTTGATCTACAGGGTGGCAATTTCGAAAGTCTTTATAAGGCCTTGCACGCCATTTTTCTGGGTTCCTCCTCCTCTCCTGCAGGTGAGGGGAGCACCCTGTTGCAACAGATCAATAAAGATCAGGCTTACTAGCTGCTTTGCGTCTCAATATTCTCTGGTTGGCCTCTGTTATTCTCTCCTACCAATAGGGAACCTATGTAAGGACTCTATATGGGCTCTTGGATACCCCATAAGGGAAAAGGGCAATTTTTGTTTACAACACCACCCTCCAGACATCATGTGGAGGAGGCACACAAAGAAGGGCCTCGGAGAATGAACACAAGAGTCTGGGGCGGTTTATATGAGGAGAGGCAATCCTTCAGGTAACCTAATAACACAAAATTCCCATCCAGTCCATGTGTCCTGATCATGTATCTCCACTTAAGGCAACTTTTTAAAATCGCAGCAAGTGCACGGCATATTTATCTAAAGCTTATACTCCCATCCATCCCTCTTTTTATATAATGGATAGCTTTTACTGCCAGGTTGTGAAAGAACTGCCAGTTTCCAGTCAGGGGCAAACCAAAAAGGTAAAGGTACCCCTGCCCGTATGGGCCAGTCGTGTCCGACTCTGGAGTTGTGCACCCATCTCACTTAAGAGACCGGGGGCCAGCGCTGTCCGGAGACACTTCCGGGTCACATGGCCAGCATGACAAGCTGCATCTGGTGAGCCAGCGCAGCACACGGAAACGCCGTTTACCTTCCCGCTAGTAAGCGGTCCCTATTTATCTACTTGCACCCGGGGGTGCTTTCGAACTGCTAGGTTGGCAGGCGCTGGGACCGAACAACGGGAGCGCACCCCGCTGCAGGGATTCGAACCACCGACCTGACGATCGGCAAGCCCTAGGCGCTGAGGTTTTACCCACAGCGCCACCCGCGCTCAAAATGCTCAAAATGGCTTCTTTCACTGCAACCATTTGGTTTGTTCCAAATGAAGTGTTTTTGAGAAGCAGGGGTATACTGTCAAACCAAGCCAGTGAGAAAGCCTTTCACTTGGGATCAACAACATATTATGACAGAAAGGAAAGAAGTGAAGTGTGAAATGTAAGTTTTGAACATTTGGAGACAGTGTGCTTCTGAACATCAGTTGCTGGAGGCTTGTACTCAAATCCTGCTCAAATGGCTGAATTGCACGCTTTCTTCATTTTTACTTGGAGTCTCCTATACCCTCACTAGTGCCTTTCCTTTCAAACCCAAGCATATGACAGTCTGGAAAACTAAAAAATTCATCTTAGGGCCTTAAGAGTCCAATTTATCAGGTGCTGAAATGGACCAAACCCAAGGAAGTAGGTTGGTTGGATTTCAAGCGGAATTACCTCAAAAGGATTAAAATGCCACATTAGATTTTCCAGGGACTCTTCCTCTTCCAAGCACCTGAACTCATCACCATATACAGTACTCCCAAACAGACAGAAGGAAGCTTCTGCACAACACATGCGCATTCATGCAACAGTGTTTTGATTCGTTTTCGCCATGGCCAAGAATGGAGAAGGAAGGAAAGGAGGCAGGGACTTGAGTCCGTCACATAGCTGTCAACTTTTCCCTTTTCTTGCGAGGAATCCTATTTGGAATAAGGGAATTTTCCTTTAAAAAAAGGAAAAGTTGACAGCTAGGGTCAGTCAGCATCACAGAGATTGTTGGGAAACTGCTTGGGAAAGAGTTTACAAATACTGATGTACTAAAGAACTCTAAAAATGTTTCTCTTTTTCAATTCCTCAGATCATTAGGGCTGACTGAAAGAACGCAATAAAAGAATTTGAAGATCCCAAATACACTGGCAGAGTAATCCTATGCAGAATTACTCAGAAGGAAGTTCTGGAAGGAAGTTCTACTGAGTCTCACTGGCCTACTCCCAGCTAATTGCTGTCTTGTAGAATTTTCTGCCCTTGCACTAGATCTATTCAAGGCCCATGTAGATTTGAAGTTGCTTGCCTTTGGTCACATAAGAAATTGTAGAAAGCCCCAAAGGAAAAGGGAAGGTCTAAAGAGAAATTAAAGTGCTCAGCTCAGATACAGCAGTTGCTTGGGGCAGAAAACAAGGCCCTGTGAAATCATTCTTAATACATCATTCTTAATACACCCTAACATTCTTTGAAATGGCTATCATTTTTGTACCAAGCGCTTACATAATCCTGAACTAGTAAATTGCACCAACTTTGCTTCACATACTATTATTAACAGAGTGGCTTATTTGGGACTGTTACGCTCTGAGTGTGACACACAAACACAGTCGTATGCAGGCCACACTCGTGGAAGCTACATTTCTATGGAAAGCATGGATGGGAAAGACGGCAACAGATAAGATCACGACACTTCCAAAAATATTATTCCTTTTTAAAAAGTATTCTACTCAAAATGGACCTAAGTGATTATGGCATGTCCAAAACCATTGATAGACTTTATTGGGGCAAGAAAAAGCCTAGCGTATCTGCTAGGACATTAATAAATACAATAAAATGGAGGGTGGTCTTTTCCCTCTATATGTAAATACTATGATGCAGCAATGTGAGCACACTTACTATCATGGAGTCACTCGGATCATTTAACTGAACTGGAACAGAATAATGGTCCATTTATGGACCGTTTAATATGAATAAGTGGCCCATGATAGCTCCAGATTTGTCTACAGTGTCTATGTCCCCACCTTTTTCAAGACCTTGCTTTTTTTCATTTCCACATTTGCTTTCGTTGCCTAATAATATGGATTTCCAAAAACCCATTCAAGCCAATACAAGCTGGAATTTTCCAATAGAAAGATTTCCCAGGCTCCATTCTTGTTTCTGGAGTTCTGAATGTATACCAAAAAGGGATGGATAAAGTCCATTGTGAAAGATATTTGGGAAAATTCTATCTCTCTTCCAAATCAATTTAATATTGCTAAAGTGAAGATGAAACAAAACCATTATTACTACAGGATAATAGCATAGCAATTCCTAAAGCAAAAAATAAGCAGGTGTCAACCTCTTCATCCCCAGCATTTAGGCTAATGTCCACCAATGAGACAAGGGGCTGATGATTTTGGAGTTCCCATGGCCACTGCTTTCCAGAGAAATGAAACTTTAGCGTGTCTTCCAAACACCTTATGTAGAACAAAGAGGGCAAGCTAAGCAGCATGCAGAATGGTCCTAGCCATACCAGCCTCCTTACCACAATTGCTATAGCATATGCAGAGAGGGAAGGGGCATGTGAATTGGAAAAAAGTTGTATGGGCTTTTTCAGAACTTGCTGAGCTAAGTAAGCAGCCAGCCAGCATTGAAGTGCGTTAGCACTAACTTACGGAATGACCTATACAAACTTTACGCCAACCATCTGTTCTGTATTTGTGGAGGTCATTCTTGAGTAAATGCCTTTACTCTTGATTCTTTTGGACAATGTATTCTGCCTCTTCAAATAATGTCAAAAGCAGCAAATTGCGTGTGTGTGTATATATATATATATATATATATATATATATATATATATATTATACAAATTGAACATTCCAGCCTTATAAATACTATGAAGGTGGTGAAAGACCAGGAAAGGAAAAAATATGTATAGGATAAAAGAGGGTGATCCAGACAGACAAGTACCTTATATTAAATTCAAAATGAAAGTTCTTTTTCCTTTTCAGAAGCAATCAAAAGAAAAATAAATAAATTATTATACTTAGGGAGACAAACAAAACGTTAACACTGAATCCCAGTGGGTTGGAAGCCACAACAGAGCCAATCCTCCTCAACTTTCCACTGCTATGGCAGCCGCCTTTGGAGAAGAAGCCGCCATGCTGCGGGTCCTCCCCATTCTGACATGAACCCAGTTCTTTTGTGGGGGGAGTGCGTGGAGAGGAGCTGCAGTGTCGGCTCCTCTCATGTGGTCCCACCTCACATTATCATGGTAGTGTGGGAAAGCTCAGCGCTGCTGCAAGTCCCATTCTGCTGAGTGACAGGCATCTCCCACCTTAATAAGGACTAGCAGGAATGGCCAGCTTTTGGATAGATGTGAGAGACTGTGGTCAGACCTTTGGTAGGCAAGCGCCTTTCCCAATTGCGTTAACTACTAAACCGTTTTTAGATCATAAATAATAATAATAATAATAATAATAATAATAATAATAATAATAATTTATTATTTATACCTCACCCATCTGGCTGAGTTTCCCCAGCCACTCTGCTCCCAATCGAATATTAATACAATACAGCATTAAACATTAAAAACTTCCCTAAACAGGGCTGCCTTCAGATGTCTTTTAAAAACAGGATAGCTGCTAACTTCCTTGACATCTGATGGGAGGGCGTTCCACAGGGCGGGCACCACTACCGAGAAGGCCCTGTAACCTGACTTCACGCAGTGAGCGAACCGCCAGAAGTTACAGGTAGCAATGTTAACTCAGTTCACCTTTTCAAATGTTAGACAAGCCTGAATGGATTTGCACTCAGTCTGATGTGCTTATGGAATCGTAGAATTGTGTAGATTTTAAGGGACCCCTAGGGTCATCAAGTCAAACCCCTGCAAAGCAATGCTTGTTGCCTTTGATTTTCTACACCAGGCTTTTGGGATTCTCCCCCCCCCCCATGTTAAGCTTTACTCTTTGTTTGGGGGGCGGGGAGGCATGCTATCAATTTCCAAGGAAGTGAAGCTTCTCTAATTTGTGAGGCTGTGTAATATAGTTACATCCAGCAGCGCTGCACCTTCCAATGTTGTTAAAGTAAAATGAGAAGCCTGGAATCACATGTGCTGTGCAGCTGAAAAGCTCTTCATGTTATACAGATGACACAGGACAAAATGGCGATGCTGAGATTCCCACACTACCAAGCCAATACACTGGTACCTCAGGTTAAGAACTTAATTAATTCCGAAGGTCCGTTCTTAACCTGAAACTGTTCTTAACCTGAGGTACCACTTTAGCTAATGGGGCCTCCCACTGCTGCTGCGGGATTTCTGTTCTCTTCCTGAAGCAAAGTTCTTAACCCGAGGTACTATTTCTGGGTTAGCGGAGTCTGTAACCTGAAGCGTCTGTAACCCAAGGTACCACTGTACAAGGACCTAGCTGCCTTTCTGTAACATCACTTGGGCTGCATTCAAAGTACAAATATTTCCGCAAACAGTACTTTGCTTTGAATTGATTAGTATCGAAAGTGCTATTGACTGGCTTATCCGACTTGGAGAATGTCGTCCAGCTGCCCGGATTTCCTGGCTACCAAGGAGAAGTTGCTTTTTCATAACAATGTACCTTTTCTGCTTGTATGTCAACATGGCTTCTGCAATGGGCAACTGGTGGGCACAGTTTGCTCCCACCAGGTACTGAGTTATTCTGGAGACAATATCAGGGGATTCCTGGACTGAAACAGAGAGAGAGAGAGAGAGAGAAGCACAACGACCATTTGCCATGCATTTGGAAGGAACTGCAAGTCCATCCATCCATTCATCCACCCAATGTATACCCCACCCTTCCTCCCGAAGGGGCCCAGAGTAGCAAGAACTGCTTGCTGAATCTACCTACTCCCAACTTTTCTGTTTCCAACAACAACCAGTCAAGAGTTATAAGGATGGTGATGACTGTTCTGATCTTTGTATACAACACATCCATAGAGGATTTTTTCTCAAATAAAGCTCTTTTCCACATTTACTTTTTAAAATAATATGGCCAAGTCACCTCCAACGGGCTTATTTTCTCTGTACCTGCTTAAGAGTGCCATGACATGGCATCTGTTACCCGAATTCAACAGGGTAGAATGGAAGATACCAACCATGGCTACCTTCTCCCAGCTCCAGGTGGGAGGACTTGAGATACCGTATTTTTCGCCCTATAGGACGCACTTTTCCCCCCTCCAAAAATGAAGGGGAAATGTGTGTGCGTCCTATGGGGCGAATGCAGGCTTTCGCTGAAGCCTGGAGAGCGAGAGGGGTTGGTGCCCACGACCCTTCTCGCTCTCCAGGCTTCAGGAAGCTCTGCGCAAGCCGGGGGAGCCCTCCCGCGGCTTGCACGGAGCTGCCTCTTATCCCGAAACCCCGGCGTGCTCAGCAGTCGCACCGGGGCTTCGGGTAGCTCTGCACAAGCCGCGGGAGGGCTCCCACGGCTTGCGCAGAGCAGCCTGTTCTGGGGGCTGGGGTCGGGGGAAGCTCGGGCTTCCCCAGCCCTGCGCCTGGGGGGAAAATAAAAATATTTTTCTTTATTTCCCCCCCAAAAAACTAGGTGCGCCTTATGGGCCGGTGCGTCCTATGGGGCGCAAAATACGGTACTATTAGACTCTAAAAGGAAAATTCTACAGCTGAATACAATATTCTGCATCTCAAGGAGAATCAAACCAAATTTGTGGAAAGCTGTGGAATGATGGGAAGGAATCAGCATATCTTTGATGCCTCCAGTGCTGTTACGAAAGGGCATTGGAAACTGGGAAGGTAGAAGACTCAGAAAGCAAAGCACAAAAATTGCCTTACTGTGAAATTCTGTTTTCAGGGGATGCCTTAGGGCATTGCCACTAATGAGATGCTGCCTCCTAGTGAAGCCAGCAGGCTCAGTAGGCAATGCTGCTTCTTCGCTGGCCAGACCCTCTTGGCAGCAGAAGGCAGCTTCCCTCCAAATGCTGCAAGTGAAACAAAAAAACTGCAGAACCATGGAGGACCACCCACCACCAACTGGCAGAGGCAGGAAAGCAGAACCCACAGAACATGGACAGGAGGAAATGCCCTCTGGCACCCTCTGGAGATAGAAATTTGTGGCAAGGAAATTTCCTCTTTTCCAGAGACACCAGAGGGCATTTCCACTAATGGGACACAGCAGGTATTAGCGGCAATGCCCTACAGTAGCCTCCGGGAAACAATTATTCTTTTTCAACATTATCAGCTCAGGCAACCTGATGTAAATAAGTATTAAGACAGCCTTACCAGCATTTTGTGCTTCGAGTCTGTTAAATAAATCTTTCCAGGACAAATCTTGGAAGAAGTAGTTATACTGACAATCAACGGAACCCAGATACTTTGCCACCGGGTGACAACCTGTAAATAACACAATAAATAAATAAATCTGTTCTGTATGGCAGATGCACATTAGCAGTCCAGAATATATTATTTCTATACCCCTTTAGTGGTCAGAAGAAAGGAAATCCCAACTTATTGCCTTCAGGGTGAAGATGTGCTCAAAATTGTGAAAAGCCACCGAAATTCAGTTTCTTCTTCCTCTTCTGGGTTGTGAGACATTCTTAGTGTTTTTAAAATGGAAAGTAAGTGGTCACAAACAAGGCGGTAGAAACAAAGGTAGGAAATAAGGCAGGACAACTTTGTTACATAATAAAAATCTTCTGTGGGGTTGGGAGACGTCAGATTACTACAGCATTATATGCTTGCGGCCTGTTGCCCCTATTGAGATTCCACTAGCTGCAATTTCCAGATGTCTTCAAGGGCAGTTCCATGTAAAGTGAATTACAGTAGTCCAGCTTAGATGTTACCACAGCCCAAGTAACCAAGCCCAGGCTATCCCTATGCAGAAATGGCAGCGGTTGGCACATCAGCACAGGCACTCCTAACCACTGAGGCCAGCTGGCCCTCAAGGAACAACCATGGTTCCAGGAGCATCCCAGACTATGGACCTGTCCCTTCAAGGGGTGTGTGGCCCCATTAAGAACAGGTCATTCTGCCAACTCCTGCACACTGGAACAGCCCACTTATAGCACGTCTGTCTTGCTTAGATTTAGCTTCCAATTTGCAATGCACACTGGAAGGAACTATAAATGACCTCCACTCCAGCTGAAGCTCTGACTGCTAGCTATCCTTCTCATTCTGCCACAAAGTTTGGAAAGGGAGTGATATGAAAGTGCTGGTATTCTAGAGGCTGCCATTGCTATGTTTAATATCCAGCAACCCTGTACAAGAGCATTATAACCAGAGCAGACAACACAACTTGAACAGACAAACAGTTCCTCTGTTGTGATGTAGTGAGAAAGAGGTTAATTCAAAGGAAAAAGAAAGGACAGAAAAGCTTGCTTACCTACTGGTATGATAAGAAATCTCATGTAGCTGAGCCAGTCTGGGGTTTTGTGAGACAGTTGTTCTACAAAGAGCCTCAGCACAGCACTGAGGTAATTCTGGGCTCCCGCAATTGCAATTTTAATTGGATTGGGAGGCTGAGAATTGCAGTTGCAGCTGAAGAGAGAGGGAACATTACTGCTTTTAAATAAAATCCAGAGATTGGTGGGTATTTTGTACCACGTACATTATTAACCTAACTGTAAGTACATACGCATGACAGAAGGTCAAGACTGACAGCAAGTAGGCACTCAGTGACTTCCTACCAGAGCGCAGATTTAAACAAGGGGCTTCCAAATTTGTGCTTTGGTCTCTTAGACAGTGAGTTACATCAGCCTGGGACACAGCTTATGAACCAGAAGAGAATCATTCATGTGACTCCCATTTTCTTTAGTCAAAGGACAGGAGGTTTGTTTAAAAAGATAGAAACTGTGGCATGTGTGCTGGGGTTTTGTTTTTGTTTTTTTGTTTGCCTGCTTCTTTTTGCTATGTTTTTGTTCCAACTATAAGAAAGTTACGATTAATCAGACAAACAGTCCACAACAATCTTAATTTTGTATGCAAGTCACCTTCGGCACCATCAGTACGCTAGCTACAGGGCAGATCATTTGCTTCGCATGCAGAAGGTTCCACATTCTACCCCTGGCACCTCCAGGTAGGGTCGGAAATATCATTGGATTGAAACCCTGGAGAGCCACTGCCGGGATGGACCAATGGGCTGACTTCTCCTAAGGTGGCTTCCTATGTAATTGCCAGTATTAGGAACCTCCCTTAGACCAGGTTACAAAACCGATCCTTCCAGCTCACCGGTGACTCTCTGGGGTTTCAGATTGAACCTGGGACCTTTTGCATACAGAGCATTGACCGAGTTACAGCCAAGGGTAGCCTAAGCGGTGTTGGAGCTTCCGTTGCGACTGAGCTCAAATGGCTCTCCTCCACGATGTACTTCGGAATCCATCGAGGCTCTCCTCCGACAGTGATTAATGACCTAAGCCTTTAATGAGGCTTCAGGCACGCTTCCCCATTACGCAGAGTATCCAAACAGCAGAAGGGTGAGAAATATATGCTACATTGCTACGTTTATTTCTAACTACACAGGACAGAAAAGAATATGCATCTGCTCTCTGTGAGAGTCAGTGAACAACTGGAACAAAGAAACAGGAAACCAGTAACATCAACATCCGTCTCCCGTGAGACTTCCAACAGTCTGGAATGTAAACAGAGTCTTGTGACTCCAAAAACTGCCCAGTGGCATAACAGAAATCTAACAAGCGGTAGCACTGCCTGAGTGTCAGGGAATGGACTCAAGAGCGGGAGACGGAGGAGGAATGGGGCACACACACACACACACACACACCCTCCTTGTCCTGACACTGCAGAAGAGGAGGAATGCAGCTTTGATTTACAGCAGGGGGTTGAGGGGTTGGAGGAAAGTCACAGCTCAGAGACAGGTGAACCAAAGAGTTGGGAAGTGTTAGAAGAAGGGCGGGGAGACAGAGGCAGGGCAGCCAGCTGACACGTTGTCACTGGAGAGTATTTCTAACCCCCCTTCTCCCAGAACACAGCGTTTGTTAAGAGTTCCGGAAGGAAGAAATCAGAGACATATGGCCACGAACGGCCTCTATAAGGGGAGATGCTGTTGCTAGGAAGGAGGGAGGAGGAAGCCCAGTTGGAGCAACGCCATTGTCCAGGCTTTCCGCCTTCTTTTGTCTCACACTATTCTGAATGAATAAACTCATTAAAAAGGACTCTACATTCTTTTCTCTGCTCTTGCTGCAACCGGGGGAGGAACAGCTTTCCTGTGGGGGTCAGGTAGGATTACTATGAGGAATTATTAAATATGGAGCAAGCCATTGTGTCAGCAATGAAAGCATTGCGGTGACTGGGTTTGATTGATTGACAATAATTTCTGATCAAATCCCACAAACCTCTGCACCTCTGCCATTTGCTTTCTCTACGCCTGACAGGCACGTATAAGCATTCTAAACACAGACCAGTTGCCGGTTGCTTCACCAGGCATCCTGGGCCATAAAGATAGAAGGTAGCTTCTTTGATGTACAGTGGTACCTCAGGTTACATATGCTTCAGGTTACCTATGCTTCAGGTTACAGACTCTACTAACCCAGAAATGGTGCTTCAGGTTAAGAACTTTGCTTCAGGATGAGAACAGAAATCGTGCTCCGGCGGCGCGGCAGCAGCAGGAGGCCCCATTAGCTAAAGTGGTGCTTCAGGTTAAGAACAGTTTCAGGTTAAGAACAGACCTCCGGAACGAATTAAGTACTTAACCTGAGGTACCACTGTACCTTTCTTTAGTTTGTTAATCTAAGGGCCAGGAAGAGAGTTCACAGGGAGATGGTAAATACTACCTGTCCTTCCTCTCCTGTTTACTGCTGTTTATGACCTCCAGAGTTTGCTAAAAGCATTCCTCCTTCCTCCTTGATTCCTATTTTATTTACTCTGAACTATGTATGCATGCTCAAGTAGGAAATAGTTTCTTTGTAGTTAAGAGGATTTCTTGTGATCTGACTTTGTCCCACGTGGGGTTTTTTTAAATGCTCAGAGGACATCTGATTGGTTCTTATGAACACTGTGTAAAAAGTTCTTTTGTGAATAAAACGACCTGGGCCAAGGGGTGGGCGGAGGATTATTAATCACACTGCCTCCAGAGTCTTGCTGGCCAAGCCTCGTGTGTATTTTATTAATCAGAGTCCAATCCTTCCTTGCTTTTGGAATGCAACACTTTCCCAAAGCTGTGACACTGAGCCACACCCCCTTCATCTCCTCCTGCCTCTGCCCCCTTTCCTCTTCATGGCAGTGGTGGCAGTGTAGAAATGAAAACTTTGAGTTTTCTGGTTCTTTGTTGCTGGAAGGGCGGCAATGCACCCCTGCCAATGAACCCTGTGCCCCCATCTCCTCCCTCCTTTGCTCTAGGTAAAGGGACCCCTGACCATTACGGTCCAGTCGTGACTGACTCTGGGGTCGGGGCGCTCATCTCGCTTTATTGGCCGAGGGAGCCGGCGTACAGCTTCCGGGTTATGTGGTCAGCATGACTAAGCCGCTTCTGGCGAACCAGAGCAGCGCACGGAAACGCCGTTTACTTTCCCGCCAGAGCGGTACCTATTTATCTACTTGCACTTGGACATGCTTTCAAACTGCTAGGTTGGCAGGAGCAGGACCGAGCAACGGTAGCTCACCCCGTCGCGGGGATTCGAACCGCCAACCTTCTGATCGGCAAGTCCTAGGCTCTGTGGTTAGGAAGAAGCAAAAGGGGCCTTCCTCAGAGCAAGTCATTCTGGGTGGGATGGCCACGAAAGTGCCTGTGCCACGGCCACAGTTTGCTGTGACAGCAAAGGATGTGTTGGGGCTGTTGGGGGTTATGTGCTGCAGAAGCTCAGCTTGCCACTTACGCTCGTCCCAGAAAACAGCCATCTATCAAGAGTTGTCTTTATACAGATGCTACAAGCAGGCTTCTACTCAATACATAATGGTATCTCACCAGGAGATTAGGAAGCTACTGGGGAGGACATTAGCTTACAACGGCATGTTTTAAACCAAGTTTCAGGCTCTTTATATGGAAATACAAACAATTAAAAGGGGGCGGGATGCATTCCTGCAGAGGGCAGCGTAGAAAATGGATACTGACAGAAGTAATTTTGGATTCAAGCAGTAAAAGCAGTGGGGTACCACACAGCCTGGTGCTGATAGCTAGCAAATTTATGGGAATGTGTCTCATCTGTCTTTCACTTTGTAGGGAGGCTGGGTCATTCATTATTTTGAGTGCCCAGCTTCCTCAGTGAGTGTCCCTCTATGACCCGGGTATCTGCCAGCATCTCCACTGATAAAACAATGAACAGGGCGGTGATACAAGGACTACTGCAAGTGGACTCTTTATTACGTTTGCAATTGTTCAAGATAAAATCTATTTTGGAAAGAGAAGAAATGGACTGTATGGGATTAGCAGAAATGACTGGCAGAACCCGTGACCAGGGAGAAGAGTTGGCGGAAGAAGATTGGAAGAAATTCAAGGAGTATCTACAGAAACATTGTAAAATTAATGAATGTTGAATGATGTTGGATAGAAACTAAGGGGTTTTTAGCTGTACTGTTGAGAGTGATATAGAAAAGAGATAAAGAATTAGGTTAAAAATTATTGATAGGGATTTGCTGAAATAACAATTTGAATAAGAATACAAGAAGGGGAGGTATGAGGAGGTCAGTGAAATATGTTATTGAAAATTAAGCATTGTAAACGTTATGTGTTTTTAAACTTTTTTGCTTTTTTCTTTTTGTATTAAATTGGAAAATTCTAATAAATATTTTTTTAAAAAAAGAGAGAAGAAATGAGCACTGAACCACTGATATATTACAAGTAAGCTCTTTATTTGCCGCGTCTGCAATTGTTTAAGACAAAACCTATTTGGCAAAAAAACTACTTTTGCCATTTTTATGGACAAGAGCTGCCTTGGTGATAGTGTCAACTGCAGAATCTCTCCTGAGCCTCGCCTTCCCTCCCTGGAAATCTGCGGTTGGCTTCACCCATCTGCCTTTATAGAAAAGTCGGTTTCTTATGTCTCAGACAGACGCATTGTAAAAACTTTTGCTTGTCAACTTAAACATATTGGTAAAATAGTGAAGTGGTTTTAGAAAAAACATCTCTCTTGCTAGACTTCATCAGGGAAAGTCAACTCAAATTCTCCTTAGGGACGAGAGTTGTGGGCTTATTTTTTACCGGCAATAAAACTTAGGGCAGTTCTGCTGGGCCCATGCACAATAGTCTGGGACACACCAGGCGGCCCTGGGAGGGTGTGTGTATATCTGCGGAGAGGGAGAATGTGTATACACACACACACACGCGCGCGCGCACACACACACACACAAACTATCATTTTTTTAAAAAAAAAAAGAACTTACTATCTCTGTATTCTAGAGACAATGGTGCTGAAAGCTGCCTGGATATCTGCAGAGGAGCACGTGCAGACGATTGGAAGGCCATGCTTTTGCAAGATATCTGAAAGAAACTGAGAATGATATACAAGTCTGTAAAAAAAAGGACCTTCTATATATATATTTTTAATGCATTGTTGATTTATTTTAGTTATCTCTGTACTGTCCTTTTTTTAAAACACCCCAGGCAATTTACACTGTATTTTATTAACATAAATTGATTCAAACATGGCCGCAGTGGCCAACAATCCTTCAAGCAAACTAGCTTGAGAAAATTGTTGGGGTTCGTTAAGGTCTCCTGGAATCCAAGAACTGTAGAGTTGGAAGGGCCCCTGGGGGTCATTTAGAAGAGGAAGAGTTTGGACTTGGTATCCCGCTTTATCTCTACCCGAAGGAGTCTCAAAGCGGCTAACATTCTCCTTTCCCTTCCTCCACTGTCAAACAGCTCTTACTGTCAGGAAATCCCCCCCCCCCAATGTTTCTTGTACAGTGGTGCCTCGCAAGACGAAATTAATTCGTTCCGCAAGTTTTTTCTTCTTGCGAGTTTTTCGTCTTGCGAAGCACGGTTTCCCATAGGAATGCATTGAAAATCAATCAATGCGTTCCTATGGAGACCGTCCGGGGACAGAGGGGAAGCGCCACGCGCCTTCCCCTCTGTCCCCGCACCTGTTTTAAAGCAAGGGGCAGCAGGGAGAAGATTGCTTCTCCCCGTTGCCGCCCCTTGGTTCAAAAGGGGTCCGGGGAGAGAGGGGAAGGCGTGCGCGCTCTTTTGAAGCAAGGGGCGGCAACAGGGAGAAGATCGCTTCTCCCCGTTGCTGCCCCTTGGTTCAAAAGGGGTCCGGGGACAGAGGGGAAGGCGCGCGTGGACCTGTTTTAAAGCAAGGGAAGGGGCAGCGGGGAGAATCGCTTCTCCCCGTTGCCGCCCCTTGGTTCAAAAAGGGTCCGGGGACAGAGGGGAAGGCGCGCGCGGAGATTGCGGGGCTGGCAACGGGGAGAAGCAATCTTCTCCCCGCCGCCCCTTGCTTCAAAAGAGGTCCGGGGCAAGCTTCGTTTTGCGAAGCAAGCCCATAGGGAAATGCGTCTTGTGAAGCGGCTAAGAAAACGAAAAACTCCTTCGTCTAGCGAGTTTTTCGTCTTCCGAGGCGTTCGTCTTGCGGGGTACCACTGTAATTTGAATTCACTGCTTTGGGTCCTAGCTGTAAGGAACTCTGCGAAAGAAGAAACACTGGATGCCATTGAGTGGGGGTATCTGTTAAGCGCAGCAAAATATGTTGTGAGGACAAGAACGTTCCTTAACTTTATTTCAAAGCACAGCTCTGTATTTCAAAATTGCGTCCAGCTGGGGGGGACGGGGCAAAGTAGCACAGAGAACCAAGCAGATAAGTGCATTATAGCTCGGGTGAGCGTGCAAATCTGACCTGAATGTTTTTATACTTATTAACAATTAGGGAAGATCAGTGACTATCTCTGCCCTATTATTGTTGAGAGCAGGGGTAGGCAACCTAGGGCCCGTGGGCCGGGTGTGGCCCAATCGCCTTCTCAATCCAGCCCGAGGATGGTCTGGGAATCAGCGTGGTTTTTACATGAGTAGTGTTAAGTTGTGGGTGAACATATCAGACGACACAGCGATTCTTCAAACAGCTCTTGTTTATTCACAGGCCAGAACAGAACTGAACTGAAGGGTTCAGCCAGCCTGCTTATATAGAGCTCCACTAGAACACAACAGTAACCATTTTCTGGAACTATCCAATCACTAAACATCACTTTCAGTCCCTTATTTACATATGTGGACCTGAGTGAAAACTATCTACAGTATCCCCCTGCTGGCCCAGGGTGAGTACATAACAAGTAGAATGTGTTCTTTTATTTAAAATGCATCTCTGGGTTATTTGTGGGGCATAGGAATTCGTTTGTTCCCCCCCCCCAAAAAAAATATATAGTCCGGCCTCCCACATGGTCTGAGGGATGGCCCACGGCTGAAAATGGTTGCTGACCCCGGTTGAGAGTCTTCCTTTGTGTTATGTTCCTGACGTTTTCTTCATTTGGTGAGAGCTAGATAAATTTCACACCTACTGCAATCAGATTTCCCTGCGATTCCAGGTTCGGGACCCTCCGTGGGTTTGAACGCTGTCCAAAAGCGGATGTAAATTTTGTGACCAAAAAAAAAATGTAAAGTACTTTTTACATAATTGTCAGGGAACTGACATCAGAGCGAGAGGCAAAGGGGAGGCTCCCAGATTCTGCTGGCGAAGGACCCAGCACCAGGAGGAGAAGCAGCCCGGTAGAGGGGGAAGGAAATCAGCGCAACACCAGGGATAAAGGGGGGCAGATGGGGGAAGCGGAGAGAGAGCTCCGGGACTCTTCACTGGACATCAGTGAGGAGAGCACAGGTCCTCCACTACCCATGCCCTCCCTGCGCAGAAGACTCCCGCGCAGCGAGAGGAGGAGGAGACTGGGAGTCAAACAGCTTCTATGCTGGAAGAGATTTAAGAAACGCCCACAGACAGATTCTGCCAGCGACTGAGACAGCCACGCGGAGATGGGCTGTGCAGTCAGAACGGTTTAAAGCAAAGCCTAGAGAGGCGGCAGTTTACGCACGAGTAACTCATACCCATTACAATAATGAACCAAACCCAGCTTGGGCAGACCAAATTTGTGACTGGTACTATTTAATTTGTGCATAAATGATCTAGTGAGCAGTAAAGCACCCAAGTTGGCAAAACCACCAGACTACTCAGGATAGTGAACATCCGAGTAGCCTGCCTTAGAAGTGCTGCAATAGAAGCGCCACGAATGGGCAACACATGGGTGGTAAATTAAGTTCAATGAATGTGCAGCTGCAATCCTAACCCCACTTACCTGAGAGTAATATCTACTGAATTCAGAAGGGCTTGCTTCTGAGTAGGTATGGTTAGGATTGCCCTGTAAATGTACTGATGCACATGGAACCAAAAAATTGCAACAAGAACTTCGGTGACTAACCAGAAGGGACAAATTCGGCAGCATGAAACGGGGAAATTCTATTTCGCAAGGGACTGAAAGTAAAATTGCCAGTATTGCAAAGCCCTCATACAAATCTAGGATGCAACCAAATGATCTGGGGACTGGAACATTTAGGGCAGGCATAGGCAAACTCTGGCCCTCCAGATGTTTTGAGACTACAATTCCCATCATCCTTGACCACTGGGTCCTGCTAGCTAGGGATGATGGGAATTGTAGTTCCAAAACATCTGGAGGGCCGGAGTTTGCCTATGCCTGATTTAGGGGTCTGTCTGCAGGTGGCCCTTTGTGGTTTAAGCTAAAATGACCGTGTATTTATCACTCCAAATCTCCTTACCTGTCCTTGCCAGTCGGAGGTATTAATCAGAATGATATTTTCTGGCAGCTGATCATCTGAGATCAAGATGTGATTCAACTGGTCGTACACAGTTTTCCTAGGGATCTGTAAATAAATGAAAGCAGCCCTTAAGATTCCTCATTTATTGGAACAAGCTCTATTACCCAGCTACTTAAATAAATGTTCAGTCTAAATCACTCCCACAATCTTATGTGTTTTTCTTCAGCCCATTAAGCTAGGACATCTATGAAGTGATGTCAAATATGAAGCGCACCCAAAATAATTGGCTTGACTTGAACGTCTAGGCACACTGTTTTGCCACTTATCCATAGAGTTGCCAATTCCTGACTTGGTGAGGATCAACGGATTATTGAAGATGACTTGGAAACTTCAGCTGGTCCAAAATATAACAGCTGAGTTACTGGCTGGGGTTCCATTTAGATCTCATATAGCCTCCTTTGAATGAAGGAAGGAAGGAATGAATGAATCTTTATTTGCGTCAGCCATCAGCCATAGCAATAAAACAACAGTACAATATACAAAAGAACAGAAACAAAAAGTTTATTATATAAAATACATTTTAGGGTTTTGAATCGGTAGTCAAATAGTGGATCTTATTCTTATTCTGATTGCCCCAGCTAAAAACAGTTTAATGATTCTATAATATTAATTATTTCTCTCTGTAAGGTGGGACTGGTGGTACTTTCATTCTGGTTTATTTTGTCTCTTTTGTTGTGTGTTGAGCATATATACATATATATATATATATATATATATATATATATATATATATAATTCCTAAAAAATAGAGAATCTTTATTGCACGTTCTGGTGCACATGCTGGGAGCTGTTACTAACTCCAAACCCCAAAATTTGGGATCCCCTCCAAAATTATGACAAAACTTTGAGATGGTTTCACAGCATGCCCCCGGAAGCACCATACATGCGGAGGAGGATGCTCCCTTGGCACTGAACAGCCCATTTCACCTGCAAGCGATGCCTGGTGCCTGGAGAGCGTTCGTTGTCCAGGCTGTTGGCTCTCTCATTCTGCTGCTTCGCCGGCTGCCTTTCCTTCAGAGATGTGCTTCTGCCTCTGCGTCCCATGTGCTTCGCTTCCGATCTGTAAAGGAGAACATGGGGACCTTTATCAAGAAAACCAAAACGGCACACATTCTGCTCACTGTATAACAACTTTCCTGGGCCAGCAGGAAATATCAATGTTGGTTGTTGGTTTTTTAACCTACCAGCAGATTAAAGTGCAATTGTTTTTATCTTTTAAAACTCTACCCTGCCTAATACAGTGGTACCTCGGGTTACAGACGCTTCGGGTTACAGACGCTTCAGGTTACAAACTCCGCTAACCAGGAAGTGGTTGCTCCAGGTTAAGAACTTTGCTCCAGGTTAAGAACTTTGCCCCAGGATAAGAACGGAAATCGCGCGCCAGCGGGACAGCGGCAGTGGGAGGCCCCATTAGTGAAAGCACGCTTCAGGTTAAGAACCTTTTCAGGTTAAGAACGGACCTCTGGAACGAATTAAGTTCTTAACCCGAGGTACCACTGTAACTGAATGAAGCACAAAGCGGCTAACAAATCAACAACAGCATATACAAAAAAAAAAAAAAACAATTTCCAAATTAAACACAATCACACAAATATTGATATAAATCTAAATGAGTAACAATTTAGGGAACTGGGAATATATAGCCTGGTAAAGAGGAGACGGAGAGGAGGTATGATAGCCATTTTCAAATACAGTGGTGCCCCGCAAGACGAATGCCTCGCAAGACAAAAAACTCGCTAGACGAAAGTCCTAGGCTCTGTGGTTTAACCCACAGTGCCACCTGCGTCCCTCACAGTTCAGATACTTAAGTAAAAATGTTTTAGAAAGTAAAACTGTTTTGAATTAGGGAATTCAAAGTGAATAAAGAAGTCTTTGCCTGACACCTTGGGAGGGGGGCACTCCATAACTACTGGGGCACCACTACCAAAAGGAAACATCTCTCTTTATAACAAAATGAACCTCTAATAGAAAAAGGCAGTGGCTAACATGCCACTCGGACAAGGGACGCGGGTGGCGCCGTGGGTAAAAGCCTCAGCGCCTAGGGCTTGCCGATCGAAAGGTCGGCGGTTCGAATCCCCGCGGCGGGGTGCGCTCCCGCTGCTCGGTCCCAGCGCCTGCCAACCTAGCAGTTCGAAAGCACCCCCGGGTGCAAGTAGATAAATAGGGACCGCTTACTAGCGGGAAGGTAAACGGCGTTTCCGTGTGCTGCGCTGGCTCGCCAGATGCAGCTTGTCACGCTGGCCACGTGACCCGGAAGTGTCTCCGGACAGCGCTGGCCCCCGGCCTCTTGAGTGAGATGGGCGCACAACCCTAGAGTCTGTCAAGACTGGCCCGTACGGGCAGGGGTACCTTTACCTTTAACATGCCTTCAGAGCACAGGAAAAGACCTCAAACAGAGTGCCTTGTGAGAGGTGTCCCCAAAGTACAGAGTCTTCTCAGAAGTGGCTACCTCATTAGGAAAAATCTATGTCTACCTGGATAAGTCAATCTATCAGCCAAGGTGCATCAGAATTAGGAATGCAGCAGTTTGGTGGGGTCAAATTTTAGAAAAGCACAAGCAGTGACATCCTATGGTGTCCTCCTGATTGAACAACAGGACTTTCTCTTCCTCTCCTCCTCTTCCTCCTCACTGTTGGCAACCCCACAATTTGCTCTGCAGATTTGGAACACCCTGTATTACTTGTGGAAGGAACTGGAACAAATAAAGAGTTTCAGCTGAGGTATAAATCACTGATAGCTCCACAAATCTCAATACTAGAAGAAAAAGGAAAGTGCAGTTTGCAGTTGCTCAACTGTCAGTAGATTTCTGCCATGTCCATTTCATTGTTTAGGTATACTTTTGTCTCTGTAATTAATCACTGTACTGGTGATGCTATTAAATATTATTTTGCAAGCTTACTTGGAGTCATATTTTTAAAAAATTGGGTAAGAAAGCGGAATGGTCACCAAGGTGCATGAATTCTGGAACAGAACACGGGGACTGAAAGCCACGCAAAACGATGTTCAGATGCCACAAGTTAAAAGCTCATCTGTCTCAAGTTGCATATTTACAAACAAGGTAAGTTTCGGAGCAGATGTTGCAGCTTATAGACAGGTTACCTGCTGGAAGGAATTATGAGAGATTCTGTCTTTGTCATCCTGCCGCTTTTTGGAGCCTTTTCCAAGAAGCTATCCAGGGGAGACAGTTCAGTTTCTACGTCTTCTTGTTGTTTATTTTCCTGCAGACAACAAATTACATTGGAGTGGATGTTCTGTGAAAGCCTTTGCGCTCTGCCAGCATGTATAATAATAAAAAAGTGCCAATAAATAATGGTCAGTCCATGCCCACAGCCAGACCAGTGCAAAACATCAAGCAATCCATTAGCTATGGATCTATCCCAAATAGTATCATAGATTCTATGAAGCCCCAAGTTGGCCTGGCTTCAACACGAACTGTAAAACAGCCACTTTGGCCTATGTTTCTGCTGTAGTCCATATGCTAACAGAGACCTCATTCTATCCCAGGTCTCCAATGTTGCAAAGGCACATGGTATTTGACAAGATGGGCACTGGATAACAAACTCTCTGCAGCTGATGCTATACCCAGCAGAACCCAACAGCGGCGTAGCGTGGGTTGTCAGCACCCGGGGCAAGGCAAGTAATTTGCGCCCCCTAACCCGGGGCAAGGCAAGTAATTTGCGCCCCGTAACCCCTAACCTGCCGTCGCTGCCAGCTTCTTCTTGCTGCTGCCTGGGCTGGGGTATTTACGGTAAGGTAGCCACGGCGGCGGCGGCGGCAGGTCCGTGTCAGGTGATCTGAGGCGAGTTGGCGCTGGCGCTGCCGCCCAAACGACGCCGCTTGCCCGGAGGAGGAGGAGGGCAGAGAGGCAAGGAAAATGCAACATGGCCCAGCAGCTGCAGCAGCAGCGGCAGCAGCGGGGCTGTGAGGAGGGGCTACCTGGTGCGCCCACCGCGGCCCTGACGCACGGGGACCGCGGCGAGCGCTGAGAGCCGCTGCCAGCTCGTCGGTTCCGCGAGACATGGGGCTCTGCTACAGCCTGCGCCCGAGGCTCTTCGGCGACTCCGGAGGCGGTGAGCGGCCCCCCCCCCCAGATGTTGCGCCCGGTGCGGCCGGCCCCCCCGCAGCCCCCACGCTACGCCACTGGAACCCAAATGTACCAAACATTACTCAGCCAGATCTCTACTTCACATTCTCACTACTTTCCACCTCTTCCTGCCTCAACCCAAATCAACCCACCCACAAAGCTCATACATACCTCCACTCTCAGCGGGTCAAAGCATTCTCAATGGCACATTTTACTTCCTATTTCTAACCCCATAAACCAACCCCACTCCATTCCCATCTACTAGCAGTAGTAGCAGTAGTCATAGCAGGAGTAAAATGTATGTACCGCCCTTAATCCAAAGATCTCAGGGCAATTCACAAGATAAAAATACAGAAGAAAAGCAAAAATAAATAGTCAAAAAACAAAATAATAAACCCCCCGCTCCCACAAACACATTTAAAAGGCCGTAGGATGTTAATCAGCCAAAGGCCTGGTAGATGAGGAACGTTTACATCTGGCGCCTAAAGATGTACAATGAAGATGTCAGGCAAGCCTCCCCAGAGAGGGGAGAGGGGGAGCCACCACAGAAAAGGCTTGTCCTTGTGTTGCCACCTTCTGGACCTCTCATGGAGGAGGCACATGAAGAAGGGCCTCAGATGATGATCAGAGTCTGGGTTGGGTTATATGGAGAGAGGAGGTCCTTGAGGTATTGCGGCCCTGAGCCACTCAAGACTTTATAGGTCAAAACCACCACTTTGAATTGGGCACAGAAACCAATCAGCAGCCAGTGCAGTCAGACCAGGATTGGTGTAATATGCTCAAACTGTCTTGCCCTGGTGAGCAACCTGGCCGCCGAATTCTGCACCAGCCGATGTTTCTGAACCATCTTCAGAGGCAGCCCTATGTATAACCTGGCTTGCCCAAACTTCCACACCTTGCCTCCTTGCTGCCCTGAACTACTGTAATTGCCCCCCACCTCAGCAACTCTCACCCCAGGTGCATTTTTCAAGTAAAACAATACCAACCCTGAATTTAAAACACTCAAAAACAGTAAAAACAACCTTCTACCCATAGCTCAACAGTGCAATCGCCTCTCAAAGGTCCATTAAAAACATCTCCATCAAAATGCTTCTATCTCCAACAAACCTTTCCTACGTAAAATAGAGACCCCACCCCAGTTCCCAGTTGACTCTCTCCCAAACACCTGCATGGAATGTGTACCTGGGCTGTAGGCTGATAGTGGTTGTTCTTTTTTAAATATTCAAATTGTGGCCTATAAAGGATGTAAGGATTCCAAAAACAGAGATTCCAAGAAAGGAGAAAATGCAGTATACTTGGGCAGAGATTAAAAAAACACACCAAAAAAAACAGGCACCAATTCAAAATGAATCCCCTAAAAACAGAAAGATTAGAACAGAAGTTGTTATCCGTTTTGCCAAATGACCCTGAAGTTCTATAAGGCTGTAAAATCTTTCTGTATTTCACTCTAGCGATCCCTGCCTGAATGATAAAAAGGCAATTGCGCTTACATAAGACACGGTGTCAGAGACGCTGTCTGCTGGTTGTCTGCTTCCAATATTCTTGTCCTCTTCAGGCACTTCAACCTGTTTGTACAAGAGTGAGTAAAACAAGGAGCACACACCACACTGGTCCTGAGACTGGCTAGTCCTGAGGTAGCATTACAGCAACATTGCAAACAAACACTATCAAGGAGCAAGTTCTTGCTGGAGAATATGACTGAAATGGAATAATCCACATTTCCCCCCCATAAAATGCTGCATTTTCTGTTGAACAATGCAGTTCTATAGCATGGTCTGTCAAACATGAGTGAGAAGCAGCAGAGAATTATCTTCTCCAGATAGACCTACTATTCACAATTCCCTTGTCTGAAACCCCCTTCAAATAGCAAATACCTCTGGTTAAGGCAAATCCATAGATTTACAGTCATACCTCGGGTTACAGACGCTTCAGGTTGCACGTTTTCAGGTTGCGCACCGCGCCGAACCCAGAAGTACCGGAAAGGGTTACTTCCAGGTTTCGGCACTCGCGCATGCGCAAAACCACTATATTGCGCTTTGTGAATGCACAGAATTGCGACACACGCGTGCACAGACACGGCTCTGCGGGTTGCGAATGTGCCTCCCACACGGATCACATTCGCAACCCGAGCATCCACTGTATAAAACTGCCATAGTTGACTCACAACCCCTTTACTAAGAAATGGCAATGCATTTGTGATTATCAGTTGCATTCAATTATTTTTATGCACTTATTTTATGCACTTACAGGACTGGGTGGCTCTCTCTGGTTTCTGACGCTGTGGAGGCTTCCAATTTCTGCTTGAGAGCTTGAATGTGACATTCCTTCAAAGTAAGGCCTATAGCAAGAAAACAAATGACATCGTAATGTTGTTGTTTTATGCTAGGAGCTCCAAAACATGGCCAATGCTATAGAAACCTCTAGAAACCGTGTGCCAAAATGTGAGAGGCTGCTGTCAGTCCTTCCCAAGATCTCTCCCTCCCTCATGTGCAAAACTGCTGCCCAAGTAGCCGTTTGACCAAGCAGGCGGGTACCGAAACACAGTCCACCCCCCTTTCGCTTGGACTACTGCAATGCGCTCTACGTGAGGCTACCTTTGAAGGTGACCCGGAAACTGCAATTAATCCAGAATGCGGCAGCTAGACTGTTGACTGGGAGTGGCCGCCGGGACCACATAACACCGGTTCTGAGAGATCTGCATTGGCTCCCAGTACGTTTCCGAGCACAATTCAAAGTGTTGGTGCTGACCTTTAAAGCCCTAAACGGCCTCGGTCCTGTATACCTGAAGGAGCGTCTCCACCCCCATCGTTCAGCCCGGACACTGAGGTCCAGCACCAAGGGCCTTCTGGCGGTTCCCTCACTGCGAGAAGCCAAGTTACAGGGAACCAGGCAGAGGGCCTTCTCGGTAGTGGCGCCCGCCTTGTGGAACGCCCTCCCAGCAGATGTGAAGGAAATAAGCAGCTATCCTAGCTTTAAAAGACATCTGAAGGCAGCCCTGTTCAGGGAAGTTTTTAATATTTAACGCTGTATTGTTTTTAATACTTGATTGGGAGCCGCCCAGAGTGGCTGGGGAAACTCAGCCAGCTGGGTGGGGTATAAATAATAAACTATTATTATTATTATTATTATTATTATTATTATTATTATTATTATTATTTCCCCAGAGCTGCCCCAGCATCTCTCATCCTAACAGACCGTCGGTTCGAGAATCCGCAAAGCTGCCATCAAAATCTCTTCTTACTTTAGCTTTGGCTTAGGAGTACTGAGGACGCTGTCATCATCTTCCATGTCAGGGCCGCTGTCACTAGGGTTTTCTATATCAAGTGTATCATAGAGAAGGTCTAGGTCTTCTTCTACTTCTGGGACATGGTCAGCGGGATCCTGCTCAGAATCCAAAACCTAGACAGAAAAGCACAAGCAGCATAAAAGTGTGTTATCAGCAGCATAAATGGAGGCTTCCCTTGAAATGCAAAGAGCATCTCGGTCATTAACTGCACTCAAGTATTTATATCTGGGCCCTCTGCACAAGTCCATATACACAAAATTAGAACTGTATGAAGAGACCAAGTTCTGCCTCTCTGCTGCATTCTCGTTGCTCAGCTCAACTGCTTTTCTCATGTTGGTGCTGATCTTCTGCAGCAGGGAGCCTTCTCCACTCATATTTATTTATTTAAAAGCATGCATGGTAAAGGTAAAGGGACCCCTGACTTTTAGGTCCAGTCGTGGCCAACTCTGGGGTTGTGGCGCTCATCTCGCTTTACTGGCTGAGGGAGCCATCGTACAGCTTCCGGGTCATGTGGCCAACATGGCTAAGCCGCTTCTGGCAAACCAGAGCAGTGCACAGAACACCGTTTACCTTCCCGCTGGAGCGGTACCTATTTATCTACTTGCACTTTTGAACTGCTTTTGAACTGCTAGGTTGGCAGGAGCAGGGACTGAGCAACAGGAGCTCACCCTGTCATGGGGATTCGAACCCCCAACCGTCTGATCGGCAAGCCCCTTTTGGGGGGGGGAGATGGAGGCGGGAGGGCTCTCAGACCCCGGCAGAGCTTCGCACCTCCTTCCCTAAGCTGTCAAACACTTCCCAGGCTTGGGGAAGTAGGCACGAGGCTCTGACAGGATCCCGGAGCCCAATGCTTTCTTCCCAAAGCCAGGCAGTAAGGTACTGAGAGCACAGAAAAAGGTATGGCATTGCAGCAAGTCATTTAATATTCATGCATCATGGAATAACTGTATGCCAAGATCTTAATGAAGTTCCAATAAAACATGTAATTGTTTTTCCTGGCCCGGAGGAAATTTTTCAGCCAGGGCAACTGCCCAGAATATCAGCACCTTTTTTCTAGAAACAAAGCATTGTGTATAACGATTTAAAAGTGGTATAAGCTCCCTGTGTGAATTAGACCCCTCATATGGGGAGTTTTCACAAGTACAACAGTGAAGGCATGTTGTCCAGAAAATCATTCCTTCATGTCAGTGAGCCAGCTCTTGCCCAGGCCTTGATGGTCTCCCAGTGTCCACTGGAGAAGATTCCATCTGTATTCATGCAAGAGGAGACACTAGGACACCATGCTGGCTATGTTTTACTGTGAGTTTTGGTATCTGTGTCTTGCCTTTTTTATTGTTCTTTGTGTTCTTTGATTGTTTTACCTTTCAGCAGGAGGCAAAACGTCACTTAAGAGGCAACACAGAAGCCTCCAGAAGTGGTGACATTTTTTGTGCCTTAATTGAAGTGGGAACATAATGAGATCCCCACTTGGTGTCCATCTGGTGGTGTCCGTAGAAAAACCTTTCAGATGATTACAAATGGCACATTTCCTAATAAAACTGGATACCCTCTGATGTATTGGCAATTCCAGACAGCCTATTTCAAAGTTCACATTTGGGGTGATGGCTGCAGCCTTTGCACTGTGAAAATAAATTCTGTTTGAGTGGTAAGTGGGTATAGAGACATTTTTTGTGAGTCTAAGAAGCTAAATGAAACAAAACTGGCATTGCCACCAAGATGTGATCATTTGCTTGTGCAATCTTGATACAGCTTGCGAAGTACCAGGGAGATACTGTTCTCCAAGCACAAATTGTGTAACTATATGCAGGAACGGGTTTTATAATTCATTTCAAGTTTACAATGATAATATATTGATTGTTGTCCTTTTTAATATCTGTACACTGTCCAAACTTATTTTGCAGGAAATGGCATCATCGTTTTCAAAAGAATTTTTGCTCCAAAGGTTTATTCTTTGTTTTATATGATCCCCGCCCTCAGGTAATTGCACAAATTGCTTTGTTGTCTTGGTGAGTGAGTCGGGCATATCTGTTGGGCAAGAAAACAAGTTCTGCCTTAAGCAAGTGTTACAAATAAGAGCGTTGTTTTTTTATGAGAGGCAGAAGACTGGGCAGAAGTTACTTTCAGAAGTTACCAGGGCCCATATTTTGTTGTGCAAGATACAGGCAAAATAACTTAGGACATTTTACAGAAACAGAGGGCGAGAGCCAGGCGACGTTACCTGGACTCAAGTCCCACTGAAATCAATGAGACAGGTCGATCACGATGTTTCATTGATTTCAATGGAAGTCAAGTTCACCCCTACCAAGAAAGCAGGACAGGGAGACCGCTAAAGTTCATACAAGAATTAAGGTGCTTTCACATGAAACAGTAAGTTGGTAAATGGCACCTCGGCCATTATATTTTATTTATTAAAAATAATTTGTAAGTGGCTGAATGTTTCAAAAACACTGATCACTCACATTATACAAAAATAATGTTTTTGTGCTCTTAAGTTTCCCTTGTTATCCTATTTCAGTTTAGAAGAGACCCAAGTACAGAAGGTTACTCAGACCATTCAGTTTCGGCAATGACATTAACACACTTGTAGAAGGCTAACAAAGCTTCATATGCAAAAGACAGTATTTGCCAGATCATTAAAATCAGACAGGTAAACTAGGGGGTACATTGCCACCATTTGCCTTGGTGTAAAACCTCGGGAGTGCAGAACCTCAGTCCCAGAGACTAAAGCCTCTTTATCTGGCACTTGGAACTTTGCCCAGGTCACAAGGCACAGCTTCCTCAAGTTCCATTCCTTGGCTGGAATGAAGGATGAATGCATGCATGGGGGCGTGCGCAGAAATGCCCAGCTGAATGCAGCCTATTGTGCAGAAACAAGAGTCACATCTGTTGCAGCATTTGCTTTTGCCTCCATCCCTGCCCATCACGGTCCCCAGGAGGTCGCCCAAGAAGAAATTCAGCCCTTGAGATGATAAAAGTTTCCAATCCCTGCTGCAGAAAGAGGTTCTGCGTTTCTGACGAAAGTGCCCTTAGCCCAGGGGTCTGCAACCTTTAAGACAAAAAGAGCCACTTGGACCCATTTCCGAAGAAAAAAAACCTGGGAGCCACAAAACCCGTCATTATAAAAATAACCTTTTTGTCACTTTTTTTTAATTTCTTTGTTTGACCCCTCAGAATTACTCCTCCTCATAGAAATAAACGTTAAATTAGCAAGTTACCTTTTTGTGTGTGTGTGTTCTTCACTCCCCTTCAAAACAGTGACCAGCGTACATGCCAGTACAGCGCCCGCCACAGTGGGGAGTGTCGGGGCGCACAATGCGCCTCCTCCCCTCGCTAGTATCCGCCCCGGAGCCGCGGCAAAGATGTAAAAGAGCCACATGCGGCTCCGGAGCCGCAGGTTGCAGACCCCTGCCTTAGCCTGATGGATAATGCAAAACCCATGCAGAATTTAAGGAAGTTGCTGGAGACGGCAACCACAGACAGCTTACCTCGTCAGATACTTTAAATCGTCTCAACAGGGCCACTACTTTTTGCTTGAAGTTTTGCTGCTGTAAAGGTAAATGACTGCAATCAATACAACACTAAAGCACACAATCTCTTGTGTGTCGAAGCACAGCGCCACGACAAACCATGCACCGTTTATTCTCAGTGCAAATAGCTTACAAAAGGCAGGCCACGGCTGTTGCTCGTTCATCTGAGGGACTGTTTAAATTCCATCCCAACTAGGAATTGGGCCAGAATTTCCGGTTCAGCTAGGACAGCCAGTTCCAGATCCATACTGGAAAGAGCGTGCAAACTGATGTCTCTGTGTTGGCAGAGATGTCTCATATTCCTCTAGTGCAATGACATAGCTGGCCACTCATTGCCCTGGAGGCCTGAGGACAAGCCCACAGAGGTCTAGCACAATCTCCCTTGTTTTGCTATTTGTTTGTGCTTGGATTCCACCATTCACTTTGCAGTTTTAGTGGAGTAGGATTAAATAATTCCTGATAAGTAACTTTTTTTTCCACCTTTTCGCCGAGAAGCCTATGAGCTCTTCTCACTCCTGATCTCCAATCACGTATATTCAACCCTAGAACTCTTTGCCACTAGAAATGTCTAACAGAGGTCTAATGTTGTATTAGTTTGTTAGGAACAGTTAGCTCTGCATTTCATCCAAAGCCAGCTCCATTAACACAAATCTTTAACATTTTTTTTTTTACTCTTAACACAAGATTAAAAACAAGTAATTACAGAAAATGGAGACTTTTTAATCAGAACACAGTTTTCCACAAACTGACTCTGCAACAAAATATGCAATCCATGGCACATAGATTATGTTTGAAGAATATAGGTTGTATTTTTGCATGGGGACATGGCACTAAGTTATCCCTCTGGATGTCTGAGTGTCTACCCCAAATAATCAATAAATAAATTCCAAAACAATTGGAGTGCACAAAAATATAAATGCTAGCCTGCTAGCAATGTGTATGGGAGGAGAAAGAGGATTCAACACAATGGATCAGCCACACAGCTCCCTTGCCAGGGGCCTTGTATAAAGAACACAAATCCCACCAGGGACAAAGATTTAAGATGTACCTGGGTGAGAAATACTCTTGTCAAGCCTCCGGGGCGAAGGGCCATGCAACAAGGGCAGCCAGAGGCATATACAGAGTACAGAAACACTTGTGCCTCTTGGTATAGAATGTAGTTGGGAAGCAAGAAGAGAAGAAGAGTTTGGATTTGACATCCCGCTTTATCACTACCCGAAGGAGTCTCAAAGCGGCTAACATTCTCCTTTCCCTTCCTCCCCCACAACAAACACTCTGTGAGGTGAGTGAGGCTGAGAGACTTCGGAGAAGTGTGACTGGCCCAAGGTCACCCAGCAGCTGCATGTGGAGGAGCGGGGAATCGAACCCGGTTCACCAGATTACGAGTCTACCGCTCTTAACCACTACACCACACTGGCTCTCAAGCAAGAGGCAGGACTTCAAGCCCCGCCAAGTGAAAGAGGGGAATGGCTTTTATATGCTTGTGAAAATACCATTTGTGTCAAAGGCATAAAAGAAGGAGATCCTAACTTGAACCCATACAGCAAATGCAACGCAACAGATCCCTAAGCCAGTGCCAGTTTTACGTATAAGCTAAACAAGCTGTAGCTTAGGGTCCCATTCTCTTGGGGGCCCCCCAAAAAAATAAAGGAAAAAACCTGGATGTACATTTCCAAAATATAAGATAAAAAACAAATAAAATAAAAACCTACATACAGCAACAGTGTTTTGTATTGGCGTAGGCTCCTTTTGGTATGTGTGAATGGCTTTAGATACCTATTAGGTCCATAAATTACCATATAGCATATATTCAATACAAAAAACAGCGACAATTTGTTGTTGACAAAGGACAGCTGGACATATAAAGGGCTCCATTGCCTTCAGTAGCTGAGGGCCTCATCAAACCTAAATCCGGCCCTGCCCTAAGCCACTCGGCTGTAGGAACAGATATTAATCAAATACATCATGGGGGATTTCTCTTTCCCCCAGGTCCAAGACCCAGTCTTAAGGTGCCAGAAGTAGAGTGGTTGCAGAAGAAACTCTAGCCTGTGAGAACAGTCATATTTTTGTTTTGTTTTTCCAGGCTGGAGGTCTGTGCTTCAAATCCAGGGCACAAGCCAGTAGTGTGTTGTCTCCCTGGTGCATGTATCCAGATGTGTCAGAGTGTGAGCCAAGTCTCATCAAGCCCGCTGACCTAAGCTCAAAAACGTTTCTTTGGAACGCTGAATGCTCCCCTGAATGTGCCCTATAGACAGAAAAGGTGCAAAGGGCACCTTGTTATCTCCATACTCTTTGGAAGGAGGAAGCTATTACTGAATCAGACTCGTGTTTAATAAAAATTTCCAGAGGGGTAGCTGTGCTACCCCAGTACAGAGGACCTTCTGGCGGTTCCCTCGCTGCGAGAAGCCAAGTTACAGGGAACCAGGCAGAGGGCCTTCTCGGTAGTGGCGCCCACCCTGTGTAACGCCCTCCCACCAGATGTCAAAGAGAAAAACAACTACCAGACTTTTAGAAGACATCTGAAGGCAGCCCTGTTTAGGGAAGCTTTTAATGTTTTATAGGCTATTGTATTTTAATATTTTGTTGGAAGCCGCCCAGAGTGGCTGGGGAAACCAGCAATAAGCAATTATCTATTATTATTATTATTATTATTATTATTATTATTATTATTATTATTATTATTAAAGCAGGACACGACATGTGCCTCAAATTATCAGACTTGGCTATGAAGCACCCCAAATGACCTTGGGTCAATCGCTCCGACCTAGCCCCCCTTCAAGGCAATGGCAGATGAAATGAGAGGGGGCAATTTTTGTATGCCCTCTTGGGCTCCTTGGAAGAAGGTCAGAACAAAAAGGCAATCTCAGTCCCCCAAAACAAAGGTTTCCTCTGCTTACATTACTCCCCTGCCTTGCATGTAACCACCCGAGTCACTTTTAGCTGCTTATTACTTGTGATAATTCTGTTCTGTATGCATTACACTCAAAGCGGTTCACAACAAAGCGCAACAAAACAAAAATATGAATACAACTACTGTGGCTTCGTATTCGTCCAAACCTCATGCCATATCTAGTCCACTCTTTCACTCTGGGCAGACACTTGGTCCCAATCCACATCAATGTTAGTAAAATTAATTTCCACCAACCCTGGTTATGGATGCTGTTCTTACTATCGATCTCCACTGCTTCTTTGGCTTCCCCAACTCATACTCATCATCGTCCAAATCCTGAAGAAAAAGAAACGTTTGTTATGATCATCAACAAAGGTCAAATGAGGGGAATAGGGGTGTTACAACATCAAGGCAGATGGAATGCCTTGCAAGCGTTTTTTTAATTAATTAAAATGTATGCAAACGTACACTAAGCTGTCCCAACTGTTAACAGATTTAAGGCAAACAGATCCTACGACACTAATTCTGTTACCACGCCAGCGGCAGCTACGAGCCCAATTCAAAGTGCTGGTTTTGACATAAACCCCTTTAAAGCTCAGCACCTCGATATCTTCTGGATATTGACCGGAGGAACCTAGCAAGACCTTCAGATCTTCATTGGAGACCCTGTTCCAGGTTGCTTCTTTGAGGGTGGTTCAGAGGATCAACTTCCTCAGAATCAACCATCAAGGAGCATCAACGACCAACTGAAGGAGTGGACTAGGGATTTCAAAGGATTGCCAGCAACGAGGGACAAGAAAAGTTTCCCCAAGTCATAAGAAAACCATTTGGATCCAACATCTTGTGGGCTGGGAAATCCTAATAAGTCCTTCAGTTTCTCTTTGAAGCTGCTCTAGTAGGCTATCAAGTGGCTAAATGTTTTGAATAAAATAAATGAATGAAATAATCAGGTCCACTCCCTTGCATTTATGACTTTTAAGATAATTACAAAGGGCTTATTTGCTTAGACAATACCTGTCCCTGAACTGCGTCATCACTGGCTTCTTGTTCTGAAGAGAAGCTTTCATATTCCTCTTCGGAATAGTTGTCTGAAAGAAGAATACAGAAGCAATTGGATTATGCTCTTACTAAAAAGAACAACTGCACATTGGTTTAAAGGCAAACCAGGAAGAAAACTGCAAGGGCCGTTATGGCAATTTCACAGTTGCTGTTTTCTAGTCTTCTGGTTTTAATCTTCTTATTAAAACCATCTGAAGACGGCAAAGTCAGGAACTGCAAGAGTTGGGGGGGGGGAAGCTTTGGGGAAACTTCGATCCTGGCCTTTACTCAGTTCTAGCAGAGTGAAAGCAGCCTGCGTACAATTTGGACTGAATTCAGAGAATGATGCTACTAAAGTTATGGTACTCTCTCTTGAAAATGGAAGGTCCTAGAGATGGGATACAATTGCAAATACAAAAGAGGAAGTCCAAAGAAAAAATATGGTTGACATTAAGCAATAACAATAGCAATTATGGAACCTATCTTGGACTTTTTGTGGCGGAAAGAAATGAAAGATTCTGAGACATCTTGACTTAAAAGAAATATTGTTTAACAGAAAGTGGAAAAGATGGATATTAGCATGGACTTTTACAGTTCTGGAGATACCTGCAGACTTGATTTTCTGGCTCATGTGTATAGCACTGTCTTCTTGGTCTATTGGTTGGCTGGACAGTGAGAAGATCCATATCTCTGCTACTTTGACTGCAGTTTCCTTGATGCTGCTGAAAAGGTTCAAAACTTGGCCTCCTTCTTTTGGGTGCTGCAACACCTATGAGACACAATGTCTGAGAGAGAGCGTGCTTACAAGTTAACACCCTATTTCTTACCCACTTTATGTTTGTTGTCAGAAAATTGGGGTTGGCTTTTACAGCCCAAGTCCCCAAGTCCCTACAAGTCCGCTATCGGTCAGAGATAAACACAACATCTGAAAGAACCTTAGCAATGCTTTTGCAATGCAACCTTACCGAAGACCAGAAAAAGTATGTTAACACCCTTTATATTAGTGACCTATACAGAGGGGCACCTACCTCCACCATGTTCACAGATCCCATTGCCAAAGTTTTGTAACCCAGAATTGTTCTGTTTTTATACCGTTTCCTCCTCTGAAGCATGATCTGAAGTTTGTTGCCTTCTCTTTTCAAGAAATGAGGATACTGCAAATAAAACATGTAAAGGTTTAATAATAATAATAATAATAATAATAATAATAATAATAATAATTTATTTATACCCCGCCCTTCCCAGTTTAAAAACCGGGCTCAGGGCGGCTAACAGCAAATAAAACCATTGATTAAAATGCGACTTAAAAACAGTATAAAACAGCATAAAATACAACATAAAATGCAGCATCAATATCAATAAAATTCAAAAATTCAGAGGTCATACTAGGGCTAATTGGCCAAGTTGGTCCTACTAGGGCCAGCAAGGAGACCAGGGAAGAATTTAAATGTGGAGTCCCAGAAAGGGTTTCTTCATAGAAGAGGAAAGGGAAAAGGGAAGAGAGGATCAGGCTAATTCAAATTGAAGGCCAGGCAGAATAGCTCTGTCTTACAGGCCCTGCGGAAGGAGATCAAGTCCTGCAGGGCCCTGGTCTCATGAGACAGAGCGTTCCACCAGGTCAGAGTCGGCACTGAAAAAGCCCTGGCCCTGGAGGAGGATAGTCTGGCTTCCTTAGGGCCCAGGACCTTCAAGCTATTATTATCCATGGACCTTAGGGTCCTCTGCGGGGCATACCAGGAGAGGCAGTCTCATAAGTACGAGGGTCCTAGGCTGCATAAACAGGAGGATATTAACGTCACCTTCTCAAGGAAGCACCTGGAGAGGCTGTCAAGTGGCCTCTAAGAACCCTGAGATGAATGACACTAGACTTTAATATTATTAAACCTTCACAGAAAGAAGAATTGGGCAAGGAACAAGCCTAAAACACAGAATCTCTTGAAAAAGCAACATATTGTTACTTTTATTGGCTGGTTTTGTACCATATCGAACCACAGCTACTGGGATGCAGTGCTGCTAAATAATACTGCACAGAAATTTGATGGAAGAGGTTGGGAGATGAATCAGCAGCCATAAATGAAAGCTGGTTCTCCACCTATAAAGAAATAAAAAAAAGTGGACCCCACTCTCCTAAAGAGTAGACAGGGTACTTTGTATCCTGATCAGACTGGATGATAAATTAGTTCACTAATTTATTAATTACATTTACATCCCACCCTTCCTTATCTAACAAGCATTTTGCTTAGAATATAGGGCTCATTTGATCTTGCAACCACCGATAAAACTTTGCCAATGCTAGTTGTTTATTATTATTATTATTATTATTATTATTAAACTGGTAAGCTGTTTGGAAGGGTTGCCTATTCGAATATTTGTCTGGATTTTAGCCTGTGTTTCCATTTGTTTGTGCCGAAGGCCGAAGAAGGCTGGAACCCCTGCTCTTAATTCTTCCACAACACCCTACCTATCCCAAGGCAAGCTTCTAGTCTCTTCCACCTCTACAATGCCGTGGGAAATCAGATGAAGCAACGAGTCATTTCTTCATTTCGGTTTTTAAAAATATGTCCTAAATTAAGTTGCTTACAGTAAGGGGCAGGAGGGAAATATTAAGGATTCCTACATTACCTGCAGGGAAAAGCTCAGCGCAAGTTCTGTTTCTACGTGCCCACTAGAATGCAGCATAATTTCATGAGACCGCAATATTCGTTTTGAACCCTGCACAGAAAAAGGAAAACAGATCAGCTATTGTTAGTCAATAATTACAGATTTGTAGAAAGTGTCACTACAGACCAGGGAAGGGCAACGGCGGCTTCCAGCTGTTGTTTGATGACCTCTTCCACTGTCCGTGACTATTCGCCATACTGGCTTGGGCCTTCTGAAGGAGACCCACAACAGCTGCAGAGGCACTGACACCCCCCCCACGCTTCCCACAGACTAATGTCCAAGTTAATGCAATTACTGGGTTATCGAGGGCCAGAGCACACAGAAACACCATTTACCTTCCCACAGCAGTGGTACCTATTTATCTATTATTATTATTATTATTATTATTATTATTATCATTAATAATAATACCCCACCCATCTGGCTGGGCTTCCCCAGCCACTCTGGGCGGCTTCCAACAAAATATTAAAATACAATAATGCATCAAACATTAAAAGCTTCCCTAAAGAGAGTTGCCTTCAGATGTCTTCTAAAAGTCTGGTAGTTGTTCTCTTTGACATCTGGTGGGAGGGTGTTCCACAGGACGGGTGCCACTACCGAGAAGGCCCTCCCTGATTCCCTGTAACTTGGCTACTTGCACTGGCATGCTTTCGAACTGCTAGGTTGGCAGGAGCTGGGACAGAGCAACGGGAGCTGACCCCGTCACGCGAATTCGAACCGCTGACCTTCTGATCCGCAATCCCAAGAGCAGGCATAGGCAAACTCAGCCCTCTAGATGCTTTTGGGACTGCAATTCCCATCATCCCTGACCACTGGTCCTGTTAACTAGGGATCATGGGAGTTGTAGTCCCAAAACATCTGGAGGGCCGAGTTTGCCTATGCCTGCCCAAGAGGCTCAGTGGTTTAGACCACAGCACCACCAGGGCCGTCTTTAGCATATGCACTGGTGGGGTGCAAAGATCCACCCAGCACCCCCCAATTTAGTTAATTTTGCGTGCACGGTGCCATTGAGAATGAAAAGCACCGTCGTTGAGTCTGAGAAGCACCACCGTTGTGAATGACAAACACCACCACTGGTGCGACACGTCTTTGGTAAGTGAGCACACAAAGTCGAAAGTCCTTTAGTGAAACAGAAGGTATACATTTCAGTAATACCTAGGTATATATGTATTTTGTTTTTCTAGTTTGATCAAAATTATTATTATTTCATAACAGGTAGATAGTTAAGAGCTTAGGCAGTGGGTGCCCCGCACCTCTTCCACTCCCGGGTAAAGACGTTCCTGAGCGTTCCTTTCATGAACGGCATAACACCTAGTGAAGATTATGTGAACAACTTTGTTTCAAGAATTAAGATGTACAATTCCCAAAAGGCAATGATATAAATTAGCATCAATTCTGTATCAATAGATTTCTCAGTACCCAATTTGTAGCACGGTATATTAATGAATATACCATGGGGGATGTGAGTGGCGCTGTGGGTTAAACCACAGAGTCTAGGACTTGCCGATCAGAAGGTCGGTGGTTTGAATCACCGCGACAGGGTGAGCTCCCGTTGCTCGGTCCCTGCTCCTGCCAACCTAGCAGTTCGAAAGCACATCAAAGTGCAAGTAGATAAATAGGTACCGCTCCAGCGGGAAGGTAAACGGCGTTTCCGTGCACTGCTCTGGTTCGCCCGCCAGAAGCGACTTAGTCATGCTGGCCACATGACCCGGAAGCTGTACACTGGCTCCCTCGGCCAATAAAGTGAGATGAGCGCCGCAACCCCAGAGTAGGTCATGACTGGACCTAGTGGTCAGGCGTCCCTTTACCTTTACCTATATTAATGAAACCATTTTTTCTCACTAATAAATCACACAACTCCCACTAAATAGTATATTAGCAAGCTGAATTGTAAAGCACCTCATTAGCTTATTATACCTAGCGAGGCTTGCATTACCTGCATTTTGACTGCAATTACCACAGAAATGAGATCTTTATCCAATTCTTTCAATACAATCAGTTTCTTCAAAGTCAAGCTGCACAACCTGCAAATTAAAAATGAAACAAAACCTGTGATATTGGGGAAAATAACTGGAAGGACAGATCGTGAAGCTGAGGCTCCAATACTTTGGCCACCTCATGAGAAGAGAAGACTCCCAGGAAAAGACCCTGATGTTGGGAAAGATTGAGGGCACAAGGAGAAGGGGATGACAGAGGACGAGATGGTTGGACAGTGTTCTCGAAGCCACAAACATGAATCTGACCAAAACTGCAGGAGGCAGTGGAAGACAGGAGTGCCTGGCGTGCTCTGGTCCATGGGGTCACGAAGAGTCGGACACGACTAAACAACAACAACTTAGGGATTGGGGAACTGGGCCAAAACTAAAAATCAATTTCACGATTTAATATCATCAGCAAACAGGGTTACTGCACTGACCACCCTAACTCTAGACTGTTTCTGAAAGAGCTAAAAAGCACAGGTTTCTCTATTATCCATTTATCCCTGCTTCCTTAACCAGGTCCTGATCCACAAGAGGACCTCACTTCTTGTTCCATGCCTGCTAAGCTTATTGACTCAGCAAGGTATTTTTTTCAGAAGGTTTTTTTTTTAATGTCCAAGTGCACTATGTCACCTGGGTCACCTCTATTATGAATGGCCACTATTTTTGGCTAGCTGACAATGATGGCTTAGTCACCCGAACCGAACCTCACTCACCATCTGGATGAGAAAGGAGAGGAGCAATAAGAACCATGACAGGAGGCCAGTCCTTCCAGAAGCGAGAGGCAGAGAAGCAGCACTCGCTGTGGTCACCAACGGCGATGCCCACAACTGGAGGTAGCCATAGAGCGGGTTGTCCCTGATGGTGCATCTCCTCAAAAGGAGTCCCTCCCCATGATTTATGTTAAGTGTCGACTTAATATGTTTAATTTCATAATGTGAAGATCTAAGGACGTTAATGTTTAAGTTAAATTTTACTGTGATTTGGAAAACCGCTAAAAGGATATGCAATGAAATTCAACCAAGGGGAAGCGAGGAAGTCACTTAACAAGGTTAATAAGTGTAATTTTCAATAAGGTTATGATTTATGTTTGTTTGTCTTATTTGTTTGTTTGTTTATAATGTTGTGAAAACCAATTTAAACAATTGGGGGGGGGGGGAGAAAGGTGCATTTTCCCTACAACAGCAGCAAGAATACTTATTGCAAAGTATTGGAAGACACAAGATTTACCCACCCTGGAAGAATGGCAGATGAAGGTGATGGACTACATGGAATTGGCGGAAATGACTGGCAGAATCCGAGACCAGGGAGAAGAGTCAGTGGAAGAAGACTGGAAGAAATTTAAAGACTATCTACAGAGATACTGTAAAATTAATGAATGTTAGAATGATGTTGGATTGAAATTAAGTGGTTTCTAGCTAATGGTATAAAAGAATATGAAAAAATGGTTTTTTATAAGTAAAAATTTAATGTTATAATAATTTAAGATTAAAGATCTGGGTAGAATAAAGAGGGAAAGAAACTGCTGAGTTAATAAATGGAACTGGAATACAAAAAAGGGAGGTACGAGGAAGTCCGGGAAACAAGTAAATGAAAAATAATGTGATGAAAGGATTGATTGTTTTTAACTATTTTTATTTTGTGTTTTTTCTTTTTTCTTTTTCTATTTTGTAATGTAAAAACCCTAATGAAAATTTTATAAAAAAAAAAAAAAAAAGAAAGGTGCATTTTCCCAAAGAGGAGCAGATAAGTTTGAAATGAGCTGCTTCAAGGACCTCTAGGGGGTCAGTCGAATTTCATACCAGTTTCAAAGCAATCAAGGGTAGTTTCCTATTGCAGCACCGGGGAGATCTTCTTCCCCATGCACAGACCAGAGAGCAGCCAGAAAGGAAGCAGCATTGAGAGAGCATATGATCATCGCCCTCTCTCTTGGTCTGCGGGCCAAACTACATGTCACCTTAACTGCCGTGAACGCAGCTGCTGACATGCTCCCTTTTTTTGCAATATAAATGGCAGCAGCGGGGGAAGCCAGAGCATCCCTCGTTCTCCCTTCTGCAGCCGGACAAAAGGGGCTCTTTGCTTTCCAAAGGAGGCCTCTGCCGATGCCAGCAGCAGTTTGCCTTGCAATGCAAAGAGCCAGGAAGCGAGCTGGGCGTCCGGCTGGGGTGGGCAGGGAGAGGGGAAGGCTTCCAACCAGTGGCGTAGCGTGGGTTGTCAGCACCCGGGGCAAGGCAAGTAATTTGCGCCCCCTAGCCCGTGGATTTTAGTAGGGGCAGAGAGCTGCGAGCGCGCCCCCCCCAGATGGTGTGGCCGCCCCCCCCCTGCATCCCCCACGCTACGCCACTGCTTCCGACCCCCAGGCTGCCAGTCCCAGGCTTTTCCCGCAGGGTATCCCCGTAAGGCGCCGCGCCCGGCTGCGTTCACACGACCACCGCGCCGGCCCCGAGGCGGGACTCACCTGGGGACGCAGCTGGGGCCGGAGCCGTCCACCTCCCAGGCCGCGAACAGGTTCATGGGCAGCGGGCCGCCCGGCGCCGCCGCCGCCGCCACCCCGCCCGGGGGGCTGCCCGGACGCCCGCGCGCTTCGGCCGCCATGGCCGGGTCCTGGCCGAGGGATGCAGCGGCGAGCGGCTCGCCTCTCCGGCCGCCACGGCCCTTCCGCGCCGGCGCAGCAGCCGCGGAGCTTCGCCCGGGACGCGCGTGACCGGCCGCGGGGGGAGGGGCGCCGGGAAGGTGACGTCACAAGAGAGCCCCCCCCTTTCCTCCTGCCCCTCCGAGACGGGAGGGAGGGAGGGAGGGAGGCGGGCGGCGGCGCTTGTTCCGCCGCAGTGCCAGAGGAGCAGAGGGACTGCTGCTGCTGCTGCATCTCGCTCCGCGGGTCTCGCTTCCCTGCGAGATGCAGGGAGGGAGTCGCAAACGCCGCCCCGATGCCGCCTTTGGTTTTGCACTGGGGAGCTCAGGTGCCCGGCCTCCTTGGCTTCCCCGTATTGTATGCCGTGCAAAAAAAAATATATAAAAAAAATAAAAGCACTCTAAACTGAAAAACACATCCGCGAGTTTTATTTATTTTTTATTGGTTTTCACAACATTTTAAACAAACACATAAGACAAACATAAATCATAGCAGCCTTAATGAAAATTTCACTTATTAACATTGTTAAGTGACTTCCTCGCTTCCCCTTGGTTGAATTTCATTGCATGTCCTTTTAACGGTTTTCCAAATCACAGTTCTTATAAAATAAACATTAACATCCTTAGATCTTCACCTTACGAAATTAAACATATTAATTCATCACTTAACATAAATAAAATCCTAAGGCAATTAAGTATATGCAAGCTGTTTTCAGTTAATTTAACTTAACATATTTAACTAAGTAATCATTAAATTTAATGCACTCTTCCTGCTCCTCCTCCTTCTGGTCGCCGACTCTTCCTGTTAGGTCGGCTAGCTCCGAAAAATCCATCATTTTCATCTGCCATTCTTATGTCCGTGAGTTTTAAGTGCCCCGTGAAGGTTCAGCCAAGGACTGCCTCTTCCATCTAGGAAAAGCGAGCGCAACTCTGGACCACTGAGCGCCGGATCTTGCTGAAACGGAATTCTTTGCATGCATCCGATTTTTGCAGCAAAAATGCCAACTCTTTGCTGCCTCCTGACCAAGAAGGAAGCGCGTTTCCGGCTCATCCTCTTCACTGCACGCATCTGCGAAGTGCTAAACACCCACGACATGTCTTTTGCACCCTTTCAAAGTGGCCAGCGCGGTTCCCTGGAGGGAGCGCCGATTCTTCCTTCAAGTTTCCCCCGGGTGGCTTTCGGAGAGGGTCGGACAGCTTCGTGGAGGCGGTGGCGAGAGGGGGCTGTGGGCGGCTACCAGCCCCCACGGAGGCTGCGCCCCACAGAGATGGCTTGCTGGAGTCCAAGGAGGTGAGGGTCGCTCTCCCGCCGGGATCCTGCTCCAGGGCATAGCTGTCAGCTTTTCCCTTTTCTTGTGAGGAATCCTATTTGGAATAAGGGAATTTCCCTTTTAAAAAAGGGAAACGTTGACAGCTATGCTCGAGGGTTCCCACTTGGGGCATCTGCTCAGCGGGCAGGAGGCTGGTCTGAGTGGCCCTTTGGCCGGAACAAACGGCCCCTCGGCTTATGTCTGCTCTACGCACACCCAACCAACCTCCCTTGCCCCTTTTCCGACCGCTCCATTGTAACATCGCCATCTTTATTTGTACGCCGCCTTTTCCCCTGACAGGCACCCCAGGCAGCTTACAGGCGCCTCGTCCCTGCCACTTGCCAAGCCGCCTCTCTCCCATAGCTGTCAACCGTCCCTTATTCGGCGGGAAACTCCCTTATCCCAGTGCCGTGTCCCGCTGCTGTCCCTTATTGATGATGTCCCTTAAATTTCCCAGGTTTCATGCTCGCCCGGCTCGGGAGGGAAGCAGCGGCTCGGGGTCCTCCGCCGCGAGAGAGAGCGTGCGCACGAGCTGCCGCATCTCCTTCTCTCCCTTTTCCCCCTCAGGGGCGCATCGTGAGGAGATGGGTGGTGGCGGGCAGGCAGGCAGCCCCTCTCTTGCGAGACTTCCGCCGCGCTGCCAGGGGAAGCCGGCCGCGGCCGCGGCTTAGGAGGCGGCCTGAGGGAGGAGGAAGAGGAGGGGATGTGGAGGGACACAGAAGGGCAGTGCTTCAGCGGCTGCAGCGGCGCCGCAACTGCCTCATGCCAAGCTCGCAGACGGCGTGGGCGACAGTCTCTCTCCTTCCCTCCCTCTCTCTTGGGCGGGGAAGGGCCAATGGAACTCCTCACGCCAGGACGACGGCAGCCCCGACGTGCTGCTTAGCATCCCCTCCAACCAGTGCAGCATCTTAATGTAGTGATTGCCCCCTCTGCATCCCTTTCATAACTCTATTTTTATAAATCATTTGTCCATCCATAGTTCAAATTTTTACTACAAGTTTTCTGTCAATCCTACCAATGTATGTAACTCTTGGCAATGGCTTTTCAAATTAATTATAAACTCTCTCCCTTCTTTATTAAAGAGGTCCTCTTCCTTGTTTTTAATTCTGCCTGTAAGCTTTGCCATCTCGACGTTGTTCATCAGTTTTGTCTGCGCCTCTTCTTTGGTCGGAGTTGTAGACCCTTAGCATCATCTAGTTCAGGGGTCAGCAACCCGCGGCTCTGGAGCCGCATGTGGCTCTTTTACACCTTTGCCGCGGCTCCGGGGCGGATACTAGCGAGGGGAGGAGGCGCATTGTGCGCCACGACACTCCCCACTGTGGTGGGCGCTGTACTGGCTGTGACATCGCATGGGGGCGGTGTGTGCGTTAGTCACGCACCGTCCCAACGTCACCTTCCCGCCCGCCCGCTACATTGTAAGGGGCATGTACGCTGGTCACTGCATTGAAAGGGGGCATGTAAACTGGTCACTGTTTTGAAGGGGAGTGAAGAACACACACACACAAAAAGGTAACTTGTTAATTTAACGTTTATTTCTATGAGGTGGAGTAATTCTGAGGGGTCAAACAAAGAAATAATAAAAAAGTGACAAAAAAGTTATTTTTATAATGACGAGTTTTGCGGCTCCCAGTTTTTTTTTTCCTTCGGAAATGGGTCCAAGTGGCTCTTTTTGTCTTAAAGGTTGCAGACCCCTGATCTAGTTCCTGCAAAACGCAGTCAGTGGCAGCCAAAGCAGCATGGCTCCATCAGTGTCGGATTTCTGTATGAGCCAAGCCAAAATCCCTTATTTTGGCTGCTGGTCCCTTATTTTCGAGGCTGCTGGTCCCTTATTTTCAAATCTGTAAGTTGACAGCTATGCTCCCTCCCCGCGACCCGCCTGCTTTCGGCTGCTCCCTCCGGCCGCTTCCCAGCCCAGCCCCGCGCTGCTGCAGCAGGGAGTTCCAAGGACCCCCACGCAGAGCGGGAGGATTGGGCGCTGTGGGCCGTGCGCACCGTCCTTTCCCCGGCGCCGCGGAGAAGCCGACGGCCAGAGGGAAGCGGGAGGGCAGGAGCGGAACCCGAGCTCCGGGGGCGCCGCGTTCCGCCCGGGCCTTTAAACCAACCGGAACGGAAGTGGGCCGGAGCATTTCCCCCCACGAACCCGGAAGTTCCCTTTCGCCTTCCGGCCAGCTCCGCTGTGTGGGCCGTGGCGCAGCGGCAGCCGCGGGTGCGAGGCAGGCAGCCATGGTGCTCCTCACCGTCATCGCGCGGGTGGCCGACGGGCTTCCTCTGGCCGCCTCCATGCAGGAAGACGAGCAGGTGAGCGGCGGCCGGGCCAAGCCAGGCCTCCACCTCCTCCTCTCGGGACTCCGGGCGCGGCTACTCGGAAGCAGGAGCCCTGCGCGATCCTGGCTCCAAAGGCGCCGCCTCCGTCGGTCCGCTGGAGATGTCGGCCTCGGGGCTCCCCGCCAGGCCTGCCCGGGAGGTCCGCGGTTGCCGAGCGGGCCCGGCCGAGAATGGCCCTCCTGGCTCCTGAAGTCCAGGGCCGGATGAATCTGCTTCTCTTCCCACCCCCCACCGCAAGAGAGAGCCCCCACCCCCCATCTAAGAGATGAGGCAGGCAGGGACAGCCTTCCTTCCCTCCTTCCTTCGCTCTGAATATTTTGCTTTCTTAGAATGTGGGAGCTGGGAATCCTGAACTGAAATTTCGGGGGTCCAGCTGGGTGCCTTTTCTGTTGTTGTATAGAGGAAACAGTCTAGTAGCAGCAGCAGAAGGGGAAGCATTTGGGTTTGGTTATTCTTGACCCAGTTCCTGTTGGCTCAGTGACTGACACTTTGCTCTGAGCAAAGGCCAGTGCTTTGTCAGCCTGTTGGAGCTTTGCATTAAAGATTTGTGTTGTTTTGTAGTCTGGTAGAGACCTGCAGCAGTACCAGAGCCAAGCCAAACAGCTGTTCCGGAAGCTCAATGAACAGTCTCCGACCAGGTGCACCTTGGAAGCAGGAGCCATGACTTTTCAGTAAGTACAACAAAAATAGAGGCCCAGTAGGGAGTTGTAGACCATATGCTGGATTAGGGGTTGCTAGAGAAGATGATTGCTCCGTGTCTTTAGGGAAAATTTGGGAAAGATGGAAGTTGGTTTGCTGTCAAGCTAACATCCGACCTGTTGTCTCTTCTTTTGCAGTTACATCATTGAAAGAGGGGTGTGTTACCTGGTGTTGTGTGAAGCTGCCTTCCCCAAAAAGCTGGCCTTTGCATACCTGGAAGATTTGCACTCAGAATTTGATGAGCAGCATGGAAAGAAGGTCCCAACGGTGTCCAGGCCCTATTCTTTCATTGAGTTTGGTGAGGTTCTTCCCCTTCCTCATCAGGCAAAGGCCTGCCTGCAAGGTTCCTTTAGTAGTCCTGATGGCGGCTTCTCCTCCTTGTGCCATCCCTAGTTCTCCCTCCTGGAAAGTTTTTTTGCATTAGCACAGTCCTTTAAAAAATAATAATTGCTCTCCTCTAAAAAGACCCCGGAGACTGGATCCTCCCAGAAGCTTTACAGAATATCAGGTCAGATTATGCAAATATCCCTTTCCCTCACACAAATACAGTGGACTCTGACATTCTTTGTTGTTGGGTGATCTGTGTCATCTCTTATAAACACTCTTGTACTTAGGACCAGTGAGAGTTTCTGAATGCTTGCCACC